CTCTTGGAAGATTAACGAAAGAATTTGGTCTTCTTCTTCCGTAAAGAATTCGTTCAATCCAAATGAATGAAAACATGACTAAATTGGTCTTAGTTACTCTTCAGAACGGAGTGGAAGAAGGGAAGAGATTCTCGAACGAGACCAAGGACCCAATGACTTCAAAAAGAGTTGAACGAGGAGCCATGCAAGGGGAAAATCGCATGTACGGTTCTGTAGAGTGGCATTTAAGGTGACTTATCTAAATGGCTTATTGGGATAGATGAACAATATTCCCCCCCCCCCCGCCCGCGAAACGTATAAGAAGTTTTCTCCTCATACGGCTCGAGAAAATTATGTCTATCATAATATCAAATAGATCCATTTTGAACGATAGCATCTCCTATATTCAAACAAATTAGTCAGTGACAAGAAGGTTAAGAAAACACAATGGGAATTACAGATGTTGCTCTACCTTTCTTTAAAGTTGTGAAGTCTTCTAGCATTCGTAGTGCAGTCAACGGATAAACCGTAATACAACAACAACAACAACAAAGCCTTTTCCCACTAAGTGGGGTCGGCTATATGAATCCTAGAACGCCATTGCGCTCGGTTTTGTGTCATGTCCTCCGTTAGATCCAAGTACTCTAAGTCTTTTCTTAGAGTCTCTTCCAAAGTTGTCCTAGGTCTTCCTCTACCCCTTCGGCCCTGAACCTCTGTCCCGTAGTCACATCTTCTAACCGGAGCGTCAGTCGGCCTTCTTTGCACATGTTCAAAATCACCGGAGCCGATTTTCTCTCATCTTTCCTACAATTTCGGCTACTCCTACTTTACCTCGGATATCCTCATTCCCAATCTTATCCTTTCTCGTGTGCCCACACATCCCACGAAGCATCCTCATCTCCGCTACACCCATTTTGTGTACGTGTTGATGCTTCACCACCCAACATTCTGTGCCATACAACATCGCTAGCCTTATTGCCGTCCTATAAAATTTTCCCTTGAGCTTCAGTGGCCTACGACGGTCACACAACACGCCGGATGCACTCTTTCCATCCAGCTCGTATTCTATGGTTGAGATCTCCATCTAATTCTCCGTTCTCTTGCAAGATAGATCCTAGGTAGCGAAAACGATCGCTTTTTGTGATCTTCGCTAGATTGCTCCAGTCATTAGTGTGGATAAGTATATAAATGGATAGAGATAGGAAAGCAAACACAAGATGTACGTGGTTCACCCAGATTGGCTACGTCCACGGAATAGAAGAGTTCTCATTAATTGTGAAGGGTTTACACAAGTACATAGGTTAAACCGTAATAGTGGCAGCATATTCCAAGGGTGTATCTTTATTGATCTTGTACCATACCCACTAATCTTTCACAATATACATCTGCCAAGGCATGCAAATATTTTGTTTTCACCACCGTAAATGTAAGGAAATGTGATCTTGAAATGAAGAATGTACACAAAGAAGGCGAACCCGACTGAATGTACCTCTCCTACGCCTTCATATCCTCCAACTGCTGGAACATGTGGCCTCACAGGTTATACCCTTTTTTCGTGGTTCAACTCAAAACCCCCCTCAAGATATGACCTTACAAAAATTTTGCAGCTTTGTTTACTCATGTTACTTTAAATTCGAATTTGTTAAAACAAGCTATGAGTACCAACAAAATTCGTATGGTCAAGGATTTCATGTGTTATAGTAAGAGTACAATATGATTGATATGTATCACATATAAGATATATAAATAAATAAATAACAAATTCAATTATCGTATATGTGGAATATTAACTTCATGTGGCCGTGTTTTAGATAAACCGAAAAATTGCTCCTAAAAATGAAGCAACAAATAGGAGCACATGTTAAAACTAATAAATTTAACTCCATTTTTTTAACAACCAATCAAATAATAAATAAAACATGAGACTGAACCCATAAAATAAAAGAGAAAAAACCTTCGTTTCGGTTAATATCAGAAGGGTTGTTTATTACTGTGTATGTGTTTTAGTCACTCTCTCGCTTTGTCAAGGAAAGTATTTAGTTCGTGATTGTGGTTGCTCTCTCGTTTTGTCGATGAGAGATTTTGTAGTTATGGTCATGGTCATGATTTGTTCAATATCAAATTTTAGAGCATTGCTTGTTATTTAGATCTAAGGTGGTGGTGTTTGTGGTTTGTTCGCTTAGCAAAAGACTATGGGAAGGAAACTCAATGTTTGTTGGAGGGGAACTCATAGCAAGGCTTCTTTGCCAACAATTGCAAAATCATCATAGATTATTGCGGTCTTTTTCTTGTGGACCCTCTACGTTAATTCTTGGGCTTGCAATGTTTGGTCCTCGCAACTAGGGTTTAGGATTAAGGGTCTTCTGTTATTGAAGAATGGTATTGTAAATTGATGTGTTTGTAATTGTAGGGTTATGATATTCTTTTGAAATGTATGATCTCTTTAATTGTTCTAAGAGACACGTTTAATATGTTGTTGTATGTACTTTTTTTTACTATTTCTAATGAAATTATTTTCCCTAAAGAAAAACCACTGTAGCTCAAAATTCAAGCTTAATGACACATTTCAACTTTAGAGCAGTTAATTGCGACCAAAGAAATTAGAGCAGTTAAACATTTTTTTTTTCTTAGTAAAACATTGTTTTCACTGTGTTTAGGTGGAAAATACATCCGGTCACCGACATTTCAATTTTGCCAATTTAACCACTGCACTTTATTCAATTTGCAATTAACTCCAACGTTTTTTGTTTTTTGTCTTTGAAAAAAATGGAACAACTGCTAATAAGTTAAGGTTATTCCCCCTCTCGGACTCGAAAGGATTATGGAGAATTTCACTATAGTCTTGATCAGAATCAAGCATACTCACCTATTTGGAATATCAAATCTCTCATATTTTTTATTTATTGAAAAACCGCAGTTGCAACTTAAGTTATTTAACTCAAACGTTTCACTTCCCATCAATTACCCACCTACCAGGTTAGTACTTTCTTAAATATTCTGTTCCCTTTGGATTTTATCATGATTTCATAAGTTTGTACTTGAACAAAATGATTCAAGAAAGAAAACAACGTACTACTGCAGGCTGCAAAGCAGAGCGGTGACACAAAAATGAAATTAGAATGTAAACCGAGTGGTATACACGAAATTGACATTATATCATTGCCACCAATTATTGCTTATTTTTGGAGTACTGTGCCGACAATTAATCTAAAACATTATTTGTTTTAAGTGTTCGAAGTGTACATATGCTTCAGAAGTTCCTGTTTTTTCCCCTAAGATCTCATTTCATAGGGGAGATTTTTTTTTTTTATTACAAACGATATTATTTGCACTAAATGGAAAATGTGGGCTAAGCCTCATAATAGGCTATCATAATATGATTCAAATTTGCATTTGGTGAAAATTGAAGATCTCACTGATAAATGAAGAGGAATACCACTAGACTGTAGTACTAAATGGCAGTTGAATATGCTCTTACAATTGGCAAATTAAAACGTGGGAAGGTGCCTTCTAGTGTGAAACTGCCCTAGAATTTCTATCCCCATATAGATGGTCTATATACTGAGTCCCTCCCAAGCTACTCATTTTTAGAAATTTGACCTCTTCCTTTTGGCATTTCATTGAGTTCGGATAATATCTTACTTAGATACATCACAACATATCGTTATAATTTTTAAAATGGTCAGCCAGCGGATTCAAATTTTTTTTTAACAAACGATCAGAGTGTGAAATGGGGTTAAGCTTCACACTATGTTAACCATAATAAAGTGGTTCAATTTCGACTTTAACGAAAATCGAACATAAGATCTCTCATTTACAAGTAAAGAATAATATCCTTATCATTAGACCGTAGTATGAAGTAGAAGTTGCTAATTCAATTAGTGTCCAATGAAAATAGGGAGTAGGTAGTGCAATCTCCAAATAAAAGTTTTTTTAGTTGGTTTTCGGTTTAGTTAGAATAAAAAAGTTATTTTGTAGCTATACGTGGATGGCGGAGCTTTTCTAAATCCATGCACGAGATCATCACTACCCATTAACGTGCAACTAATATAGTATAGATGACTCACTCTCTATACAACTAATACAAATTATTACTGTTCGTAATATGCTTAGAATATGACACGTGTGGTATTAGAATATATGACACAATCATCTTGGACTCCTATATTGTTTTATAACAAGATATTGGAATCAAACTTTGGGACATCTCCCTAATTAAGATTGGTTATAACTTATAACTTGACCATATGTTGGAATGAAATTGACCATATGTTGGAATGAAACGAGTATAGAATGACTATTCTAAAGTGTTTGTGACATCTTTTTAATTAAGACTGGTTATAACTTATAACAAGTCTTAATTAAAGAGACATCAAATAGCCTGAAACAATCTCAAAAATGTTTTGGTATAAGATAATTACTAAAATCGAAGTCCCAAAATTCTTTAGATGAAATGTGGTGCCTAGCTCTTTGACACGCGACAAACTGACTGACATATATATTATTCAGTTAAAATTGGATCCACGTGTTAACACATGGATCCAACTTATAATTTAATATGAACATTACCACGTTTTTCTTTCAAAACCCTGCTTAATTTAGACAAACTATAATACTCTATAGAGTATCACATCTCAAATAGAGGTAGGACCCACCAATACAAGTGGATTATCTTTTTATTAAAGATGTGAGATAAATGTGGTATGAAAAATATGTGTAACATTTTTTATTCTATATTCTTAAGTGTATTATTTGAGAATGAAAACCACTAGTTACTAAACCTAATTATTGTGGTTGATCTTGGCCTTCCGTGTGATAAAATTTCTCTTGGTGTGTCCGCTGCATGAACAGTTGAATTTCCATAAACCAATCATAAAATCATTATAATACTGTTTCTTCCTTTTTCTTGCACCGACCATGCAACTCTCCAAGGACAAAGGATTTGCTGATTTCATCTTTAGTGCAATTAGGATGAGTGGTTATGGGGCGATTCATGGTGGTTGGAGTGTTGGATGGATTCGATGACGGTGGTGGCTGGAGTTAGGGGAAAAGTAGAAGGTGGGAGGGTTTCAATTTTGTTGTTTTTGAAGGTATTATTATTTTCTTTATTTTTGAATTCTTTCATAGTTTTTTTATTTTCTTAATTTTATTCTTTCTTTAATTAATATTAAACATGATTATAAAATTTTAACGGTAATTGGATGGAAAAGGAGCACATTGACTAATTGAGTTAAACATATGGATCAAATTTAACATTTAAACCTTTATTTTAACCTAAAAGAAAGGAGCACATTCAAGTTAAGCATGTACTTTCTTAAGTTATATATATATTGGGAGCAAATGAAATACCTCATAAGTCACGTAGAGGCCACCACATTCAAGTTAAGCATGTACTTTCTTAAGCCAATTTTCTTGTTAATGCTATTGCAATTCCTAGTCGCCCTATATGTTTTCAAGTTGTTCTAATGTATGGCTATGAGCAGAGGCGGAGCCACAATGGGGTCAATGGGATCGCACGACCTCTTGGAAGCCATGGAAATAACCTTAGAGGTCCCTTGGAGCTGCTGGTGCAACCCCTTGGAGTTGCTGGTGCGACCTCTTGGAGCTACACACCACGTGCTCGATGAAACGTTTGAAAGAAGAAGCAGCCTTGCAGGTTGAAGAAGAAGGCCGCGAGCCCTTTTTTTTAAAAACAACCTGGGCAAAACGACGTCATTTTGGCCCAGGGAATTTTTTTTAAATGACCTGGCCAAAACGACGTCGTTTTGGGCCAGGTCTGAAAAGAAAAAAAAAATGCAGCCTCTCCTTCCTCTGCTCACAGACCCGACTCCCCCATTCCAAAACCCCAAAATTTGTCTACTTTCTCGCCTCCCCTCTCACCTGCAAAAAGGTTTGCCCTTTGTCTTGATTTCAGTTTTGTTCTGGTTATTCTCGCTTTCAATGTTAGGGTTTTAGGTTTTCGTTTCTGGTAAGATCTTTTTGGGATGGGCCGAAATTGTGGTATTATTTCGGCTGTAAGTTTCAGATTTACAATTTTTCATGCATTGGAATTAGGGTTTCTGGATATGTTTGATGCAATGAATTTCTTTAGGTTAAAGTATGTTCCTTTGGGTAATCTTGATTTTCCTTTAGTCTTAAAGAAAATGATAAAACCGTTGTCTCACATTTATTTGTATAGCACAGGGGCTAATTATTTTAAATTGCTGCCAGAATATGTATGTGATAAGTTTCAATGTTAGAATCAATCATGGTTTCGAGGCCTTGAAATCTCGATGAGCTTGCTTTAAGGGCTGATTTAATTAATCTATGAGAAGCCTTATTTCGAGCGAATATATGTTAGCATGGTTCTTGCAGCTCAAAATTAATCCCCTTTTTCATAGTTTGGCGCATGTTAAATTTTTTTGTTAGCCTGCTTGATTGCATTGTCTCTGTTACTTTTGATTCTGAGCTGGGAAAAGTTAGTTTGTTACATAATATGGAGTATACTTCAGTCTCTTTATGTCACAGGGTATGCTGATTTTTTTTTTCAGTTTAGTTTTTGGTGGTTATCATTCGTTACGTGGCTTAGTGGATTCCTGTGTTTGTTATTTGCTCATTGTTATTGTGAAATTTCACAATTCAAGTAAGTTCTAAACCCTATGTATAATGTATGATATATTTAATTTAATTGAAATCCAATTCATATTTATTTTGATTATGTTGATGGTTTGTTTATATTGTGAGTATTTATTTTGAATATTTTGTATATGTAGAATTATTATGGAACGGTTTTTAAGAGAAAGTCATCATCGGGTTCGGGTAGTTCGAATAATGTTGATAGTTCAAATACTGTTGGTAGTTTAAGAACTCCAAGTTCAAGACAAAGTCAGTTAATGGTGTTTTGGGTAATCTTCAAGCGGATTCTGGATTAAGAACTCAAATGATAGATTATGATGCTAATATGAGAGATGAGGTCCGAATATCGTATCTACAAAAAGGACCTTATCAACCTAGAGGTCATAATTTCCCAATAACTAATATGTCGGGAATTAATCGACGCTTCATTCCCCAATGGTTTGATGAGTTTGATTGGTTGGAATATAGTATATCTAAATATGCGACATTTTGTCTCTATTGCTATCTCTTTAAAACCAATTTTGAACAAGTGGGTAGTGAAGCTTTCACTAGAGATGAATTTAAGACATGGAAGAAAGGGAGAGAAAGATTTAAGATGCATGTTGGACCGGTTGGGAGTGTTCATAATAAGGCTAGAGAAGCTGCTACAAATTTGATGAATCAACCTACACTTATTGAAACGGCAGTGAGAAAATACTCCGACCAAGCTCGTAAGGCTTATCGCACATGCTTGAATGCATCAATCAAGTGCACTAAGTTTTATTTCGACAAGGTCTTACTTTTCGTGGCCATGATGAAAGTGCCACTTCAAGCAATAGGGGAAATTACTCGGAGCTATTGCAATTCATTGCAGATAATGATGATAAAGTTAGAGAAGTTGTGATGGAAAATGCTCTGAGGAATCTCAAATTACTAGCTTCTTCCATTAAAAAAGAAATTGTGAATTCATGTGCCCTTGAAACACTTGATGCTATCATGGATGGTATAAAAGATAGATTCTTTTCAATATTGGTGGATGAAGCACGTGATGTGTCGGTGAAAGAGCAAATGGCTATGGTGTTACGTTATGTGGATGACAACGAGCATGTAATTGAAAGATTTGTGGGTATCCAACATGTTACCGACACTACTTCAAGTTCACTAAAGGATGCTATTGACACATTCTTTTCTCGCAACGGTTTGAGCATTTCCAAGCTACAAGGACAAGGTTATGATGGTGCTAGCAATATGAGAGGTGAGTTGAATGGCCTTAAAACAAAGATATTGAGAGAACAACCTTGTGCATATTATGTTCATTACTTTGCTCATCAACTTCAACTAGCTCTTGTTGCCGTAGCAAAGAAGAATATAGATATTGCCTCTTTTTTTGCAACGGCTAATAGTGTGGTTAATCATGTTGGAGCATCTTGTAAGCGGCGTGATTTACTTAGACAGCAACTTCAAGAAGAGCTTGTGATAGCTTTTGAAAATGATTGTCTTATAACGGGGCGAGGCTTAAATCAAGAAACAAGTCTCAAACGTGCCGATAACACACAATGGAACTCATACTATGGTACCTTGATTAGCATCATTTCCATGTTTTCATCCGTGGTTCATGTGCTTCAAATGGTTATTGATGATAATCCCAATGAAAGTGCGGGTGAAGCAAATAAGTTAATGAGAGAAATACGTACTTTTGAGTTTGTGTTTCACCTTTTCTTGATGAAAGTCATATTGGGACTCACAAATGATTTGTCACAAGCATTGCAAAGGAAAGATCAAGAAATTGTGAATGCAATGGCTTTAGTGAAATCATGCAAGGAAAAGCTACATTGGATGAGGAATAATGGGTTCGATGCATTGGTTGATGAAATATCTTCTTTTTGTGAAAAACATCATATTGATGTTCCTAACATGGAAGAGGCATTTATACTTCCAGGGAGGTCAAGGCGTAATGCTCCAATAAAGACAAATCATCATCATTATCGTGTAGAGCTCTTTATTTATGTCATTGATGAGCAAATTACGGAGTTAGAGGATCGCTTTAATGAGGTAAATACTGAGTTGCTTATTTGTTTGGCATGTTTGAATCCGAAAGATTCATATGTAGCTTTTGATAAACCAAAGTTACTTCGTCTTGCTCAATTTTATCCTCAAGACTTTTCGGATGAGGATCGTTTGGCACTTGAAGATCAACTTGAGATTTATATTCATTATGTGTGTTCCAGTAGTGATTTCTCTCAATTGGAAGGGATTGGTGATTTTGCAAAAAAAATGGTGGAGACAATGATGCATCAAGTATTCAATTATGTATATTTGCTCATTACATTGTCTTTAGTTTTACCAGTTGCAACTGCTTCAGTGGAGAGAGTATTTTGTGTCATGAATATTGTTAAGGGTCCACTTAGGAACAAAATAGGAGATCAATGGTTGAGTGATAGCTGGCTTGTTTATATTGAGAGAGATATTTTTGCTTGTATTGAAAATGAAGCTATAATGCTTCGTTTTCAAAATATGAAACCTCGTCATGGACAATTATAGCTTGTAATATTGTTTCCGTTATGAATTATGAATGAAAGTACTATGATTTCATTTTCAATATGTTTTTCCATCCTAAATTTTTATTTGGACTTTTACACTAAGACCCCTTGTGGTAAGATTCATGGCTCCGCCACTGGCTATAAGTTCCTCTTGTTGTTTGTCCTATGCAACTATGGTAAATATATTTGACTGTTTATACTATTTACTTGAAGGAGGTGATTTTCATACTTGTTTTTTAGTTTTTCACACTATTTTTAGAGTCGTCGGATTGAATAATCAAACCAAAACAACAGAAGTTATTTAACAGTGTGAGTGATAATAATTTAATTCCCCTTTTGGGGGTTTGAGTTAATTCTTCTTTTGCAAATAATGTATCTTTACTGTACAAATTTTATAGTTGGAACCATTCAATTCTTAATCTTTATTTGAAGATCACCGTTACAAAAAATTATTTCACTCGGAGATCATTTAGTCATTCAAGTGTAGGATGCATGTGGTCCAATAGATAGGGTGTTGAGTTTTCACCCATGCATCCCGAGTTCGAAACTCTCCCCTCTTTTAGATTATTGTAACAGTTTCGAACTCTCACATTTCCCCTTAATAATAATAAATTTTTCTTAGAAAAAACAAAAGCCATTCAAGTGGATGAAACAAATTTACAGTTTAACTACTAAGTAATATATTCATGATGAACCATCCATTTATTTGATGTGTTTGGATGATTAAATGATCTCAAATTCAAATGATTTTTTGTAAGAGCGATCTTCAAATGAAGGTTAATAAAGTGAACTGCTTTGATCATTGATTTCATTCAGTCAAGATATAATATTCGCAAATAGAGGATATATGCATTCCAACATAGGAGGATGCAAGTATTATCCTTGAAAGCAATAATTCAACGCCAAATATGCCTAATTGGTATAACAGTTAATTAAACTATTGTTAAGAGTGTAAATACTAGAATTCAATTAACAGTTCAACCATATACCTGGCTGCCTTAGGAATTAAGGGCTCCTAAAGTTATCCTAATTTGGTTTGGATTGGTGTACTATTTGGTGATGGGTAGTATATATACTTAATTAGGGCGTGCATATAAAAAGGAGATTATATTCACACACACCTCAAATTACTTTATCCATATTTTTTAATTTTTTAATATTTTTTTGTCAAGTGTTAATGGTGTCTAGAAAATATTAAAAAATTAAAAGAATGTGTGAGAAGTAAATTGGGGTGGTTAATATAATCTCTCTAAATATAAAACGTAAGGTAATAGTAAATGGGAGAGAAAATTCTCGAATAACATAAATAAAATCTGCTTGAGAAAGTGCTGAATGGCATCTTTCCCGCCGGTCCTTTTCGAAGCCCATCTCAAAAACTATGTATTAAGTAGCAAAACTGCTCTTCTAAGGTCCTCATTTTAAGGACTTGTGAGGTCCTTTTTATAGATACTAATCAGATTGATGCAATGATAGATTGAGTTATCAACTTAAATAATTCATGTTACACCAAAGCACAATAATTGTGTAAAGTAATTAAATTAAAAAAGATTCTTGCGTGAAATCTCTTGTCTTCTTCCCTTACCGTCTCTCTCTTCGCATCGCCTTCTTCTCTCCATCTCTCTCTCTCTCTCTCTCTCTCTCAATCATTCACTTTCATTCTCTCCTCCTGAGTTTTTTTTTTGTTTTTTCCTTTTACGTATGATAAAGGGAGAATGACTTGTTTCAAAATTTTCAGGTTCGTCGGAAAATTTCATAAGAAAAAAGGGCTCACGCGTTCAAGAAGGGATTCTAATTTTCAAAGTCAATTTTTTTGGTGCTTTGTAACTAAATGGGTTTGAATATTATTGATAAAATATTGGATGAAATTGGATGTGTAAAGTTATCAGGGTTTATCCAATTGGATTTGCTAGGTTTAGATATTCGATGAGAAGACTAGGTTTTGCAAATGGAAGGGATTCGATAGACGTGAAACCTTCTTCTCTCTTCTTATTTTATTGTGTTTTTATTTTATGAATTAGTATTTTATTTCCATGGAACAAGAACTATTTAAGTTGATAGTTTAATCTATCGTAAAATTAATCAGACAACTCATATAAAAAAAATAAAAAAAAACAGAACCTCATAGGCCCTTATTTTAGGAGAGCAGCTCTCTTTTGACAATGTCACGAAATGCCTCATTATTTGGTTTCCTTTTAATTAAAGACTATATTATTAAAGTCGTATACCCTAAGATCTATGATGTGCTTATCATTCATTTGTAAATTAAAACATGAGAATTTTAACGAAAAGCTAATGTACTATTTATTTTAACAAAAAATCACATTTTTATACTAAAAAATCAATCCTTATACTATTCATTTTACCCTTTATTTGTCTTTATTGTTAAAACTCAAAATTTTTAAACTATTTTCATTAGTTCTCCTTTAAAACATTTGTGCTCACTACATAAAGTGTTGAAACATATTTCGTCGAAACTTCATATTGCGGTGAAGACAGCCAACATAAGTCACAGCTGCAAAAGCATACAAAAATTGGTCCTTTGGTTTGACACTTTAAGCTCCAAATTCAATAAAATAAATAATGTTTTTTCGGAGTTACGAAGAAAAAACATTAATAATAAAAGAAAGGATTGTAGCACATGTTGCTTGTTTTAGTAGGGGATTTATTATTATTATTTTTAACAATAAGCTCTTATTTTATACATCCAAAAGAATTTCCTGGCGCGTAAAAGTTAAATTAGATCGTCATTTTTTATAGTTTTTTTTTTATTTAATCGTATATTTTTCAAATACGGGAATGAATGTTCTTACCATTAAGTAATAAAACTATTTTTACTAACATTAATCAATCACATCTTCTAAAAGTTAAGAGTTAACTTCTTACGTGTAAGGAACTTGTAACTCAAGTACGGATTAAGATTATTACTTATATAGGTCATAGGATCAATTTCATCTCTTCCCCTACTATATCAACAAACGGGTTGACGTTATACCAAAAAAAGCAAGTGTTTGATAAACATATTGTAGAATGTCCATAATAACTCTCATAACTAACGAACATGTAGTGTTTCACAACAATTTAACTACATAACGTTGATGCATTTAACTATACAATGCTTTGCATTATGAATGAAACTATGGGGAGACAAATTCATCTAAGAAGATTCTCAATGCATGTACTCTTTCATCTACATAAAAAGAACAACTTATATGGTACAAGTGCAGCGTCACTTGATATTCTTTGTTAGTGAGTTAATAATATCTGAACAAAACTTTACATATATCTTTATTTATTAGTACAAAACGCTATTATGTGAGTGTTTTTGTTCACGTTTGTCATACTTTTGCTTAAAATGTTCTCTCCTAATTTACAAGACATTTTTCATGTTGAAAATACAGCTTGATATACTAAAGCATCATTATAGTAGTAATTTGATACTTGAAAAAACCTTCTAACCACTTGTACCAACACACTAAAATATTTCTCATAATTAACCCGCGTAAACAACTTGTCGGTTCAAAATTCACACGGACAGTCAAACCCGAGTGCCGGCTGGGATCGCCACATGTCAAATTAACTTTGTTGAACACTTATTTTTCCAACTTTTTTCCCCTGGGAAATACGCAGCGGAATTATGGCAGGCGAGCGCGTCGATCACCGTTGGGACCTTCCCTTTCGCAGCAGAGCAATATCATGGGGAACCGCGTACAGTCAGAGGGGCCCCTTTAATGCAATCCAGTCGGACCTTCCCCGTACATCAACTTTTCTTTATTACAGATCCGACGGCTGCGGGGACGATCTGTGACTGATGAGCATCACCTGCGGGTAAGAAGGACGAATTCTGAGAAGGAAGAGACTTGGTTGCTCGCCGGAGGAAAAGGACAAAGATTTGTTGCGAACCAGCTCGCAACTAAAATCACGCTGGCCAATGAGAAACGGCCACGTCGGCAGAGCATTTGGGTGATAGGAACACGTAAAAGACAAAACAAAAATACCGTACATGTAATGGGAGTTGACCAAACAAACCTCTGCGCCGGAACGAGGCCCTCGGCGCGGTTGTTGTTGCAAGTGCGGACACATGCAGCAGATTACGGCCCCCGTCGTTCTACTTCTAGAAGTAAAATTAGTGATTATTTTTCAAATGGAAGTATTTTTTATCACAATCATTTAGTATGGTGTATGCCCACCATCCTATATATCATAATTATATGAGTTTGAATTTTGAGATTCGTGTAATGGATAAGCACAAATATCAAAATTCAAACTCATCTAACGGTGATAAATAGAATGTTGAGCATACACCACATATATGATGGTGAGCAAATATGCACTATTTTCAAACTCCATGTTGTCCTTAGTGCACCTGTAAAAAATTTAAAAATTGTAGGGTACTTTTAATTTTAGTATATGAAAAGTTATACCTAAGATTAATTTTGATTCGTAGAAACGCATTCTCGAGGCATGTAAATTACATACCTAGTCGGAATTTTGTATACGATATATGTAGTTAAAAGCATCAGATTTTCAGTAATGTGTTTACCATATAAGAGTGTCGTTCAATATTCGCTTTAAAATTTCCTACTCACAAATCAAACCAAAGCTTACATACAAGAAACTTAATAACAAGCAAAAACAGCCTTATAATTAACTCTACTATGTACTTTAACTAAAACGTACTGAATTATTTGGTTAAAGAGATTTTGTTTTTGCTTCTTTCCTAAATACAAAAGGAAAGGTTAAACGTGTTATATCAAATACACATTGTATACACGTCGAATACAAATTATATCCATACTGTATACATACACATTGTATTAATCGGATTATGAATATAATTTTAAAGTTGAATAATGCTACATGTAATGTATGGCGCATTTACTTGTCAAGAAACGTTGAACATAAATATCATCCCTATCATAAAACATAGAATAGGAAATGGAATCCATTACGATACACCTTGTATACAAATCGGGCACATTGTATACTTATCTGATACACCTCGTATCAGTTGAATTATAATCATAATTCTAAACATAGCAACACCACATGTACGACACTGCGTAATCTACTTGTCAATAAACGTCGAATGTAGAATTCACTTCAATTAGAGACGCGGTAGTAAACAAGCGAGAAACAGTGTTGAAAATGAAATTGATGACGTGGCAATATTTAATTGGTAAAAAATGGAATTTATTTTGCGGTTAATTTGCATCACAAACCAGCCCCTCCCCCATATAAATTAAAGAAAAGGGTCACAAAAAAGTACAAAGAGAGTTCTGTCACTTTGTGGCTGAGTTTTGCAAACGCTTTCTCCTTTCTTTCTGCTCTGTTTTCTTGGTTGGCTGGTTTTCTATGCTTTTTTTTGGGTGCTCTGTTTTTGTGCGCCAGTTGAGATAAAAAGCAGTGAGAGCACAAGAAGAAAAGAAAAAGGGGAAGACGATGAGCTGCTTTCGCTGCTCGAAGAAATCAACCAAAGAATCAGAGAAGAAAATTACCCACATCAACACCAACAAACCCAATCATCAAGGTAAGAATTCTTTTCCGAAATTATTTGATTTAATTCTGGGGTCATTGAGATAAAACCCAAGTTTTATATGATCGTATTTGATTTTTTTGGATGATTTTATTTTATTTTTGGCATTGTGGGTTTTATTTTTTGGATGCTATAATTTGATAATTTGCTTTCCTTTTTCTAAATCTGTTTGAATTTTGTGGGTAGTACTCTTTACCCTACCTGGGTTTACGTGTGTCTTTCAATCTGTGAATAAAAGCCATTAAATTTCATCCATTGTATGAGTTCTTGAATTTCTTCCATTTTTTTACTTTATATAATTCTTGGGTTGAATTTTTTGAATTTGGTTTTGGATGGTCATTCTTTCCACCTAAAAATCGATTTAAAAGGTCGGTGCTTTTGACTTTGCCATGAGATTAGTGTCAATTTTTGAAATTTTGCAGCGGATGAGGAAAGAATTATGGCTGAATTTTTGTCTAGTGAAATGGGATTTAATCACATTTATGAAATTTGAATCCTTTTTGTTCATCTGGGTTTATGTTAAATTGTTAATTTTCTCATCTGGTGCTGAATTAATAAATTTAATTTGATTCTGTTCATTGAGACAGACTGTTGCTCATTCATTTTGTTTGTTTCTTTGCTTGGCTAGGAAGGTCCAATCTATATTCCACATTTCCACACCCCTTTTAGTTTCGAATTTTGTCAGTTTGTATTCTTTGTTTGCATTTAGATTTGCATGACTCCGATTTTTCACCCCATAAATTGATAGAATTAGTCAATGTCGAATTTTTGGATTTTAGTTTCCATGTGCCGTATTTTTGTCTTTTTTCTTGGCATTCTCAAATCTCATTTAGTTACCTGTCTTTGTGGATGTATATTTGCCCGTTTTGATCCGTGAAGTGAATACGAATGGGACTGTGAAAAAGGAACTGGGTGTGGAAAAGGAACTGGGTGTAAAAAAGGAGGAGGCGATGAAGGATGACCAGTTATCGTTGGATGTAAAGGAGTTGAATATAATAGAGGGTTCCAACGATGGAAAAACGACTGGCAAGCGGGCACAAACATTTACATTTGCTGAACTTGCAGCAGCAACTGGCAATTTCAGGTCTGATTGCTTTGTAGGTGAAGGAGGATTTGGAAAAGTTTACAGGGGTTACTTGGAGAAAATTAATCAGGTCTGTAGTGTTTATGTGAATGTTAGTTCTATCATTAAATTGAGCGTTTTTAACTCAAATTGGTACAATTGTTTTCAACTGTTTGAACTTGTACGTGGAATTGAATTCTGCTGGGACATTACTCGTACCCTTTTATGCCATTGTATCAAAAACTGTGTTTTGTTCCTTGAGTTTCATTTAGTAAATGACTTATAAGCTCAAGGACTGACCTTAGTTTGCTATTTTTGTGGTTCTAGGTTGTTGCTATTAAACAGCTTGATCGTAATGGATGCCAAGGACTTAGGGAATTTGTTGTCGAAGTATTGACGCTTAGTTTGGCTGACGACCCTAATCTTGTCAAACTGCTTGGATTCTGCGCTGAGGGAGAGCAGAGGCTATTGGTTTATGAATATATGCCATTAGGATCTTTGGAAAACCATTTGCATGGTATGCAGCTGAAACAATCCAAAATCCTGCTCTTGTTGTATGATCGAGATTACCCTTTCACTTTGTTTTACATCTGCCCCTTATTATCGCAATGTGTTTGAATTAAGTATCACATTTGTTTTGCTTTACAGGTCTTTCACCCGGAAGGAATGTGCTTGACTGGAATACAAGAATGAAGATAGCAGCTGGTGCTGCGAGGGGTTTAGAGTATCTGCATGAGAAAATGCAGCCCCCTGTTATATACCGTGACCTGAAATGCTCAAACATTTTGCTTGGTGAGGGGTATCATCCAAAGCTATCGGATTTTGGCTTGGCTAAAGTAGGTCCCAGTGGAGATAAAACTCATGTTTCTACTAGGGTTATGGGTACGTATGGGTATTGTGCACCGGATTATGCCATGACAGGTCAGCTGACTTTCAAATCAGATGTTTATAGCTTTGGGGTTGTTCTTTTGGAGCTTATCACAGGAAGGAAAGCTATTGATAATACAAAACCCATCAGAGAGCAGAACCTGGTAGCATGGGTAAGATAGCTCTAGTTGCACTCTTCTTCGATATCTACTATTGCACTTTATTCTGTGGAATTGAATATATTGATTTCATGGTAGCTGCTGTCCTTTGAAATATTGTGTGGTATGCAATAATATCGGAAATGCTGATGGTTCTGGCAGCCTTTGTTAATTAGGTCGGGCCCAACCGCCCAAGAGGCTGGATATAAGTATTATAATCTCAGTTTGTTGAAACTTATTTTCTGTACTTATTTTCTTTTCATTTTGCGGTTGATTTTTTGTCCCTATTGTCTTGTAAAGTTATATTTTGATATCCAAAGTAGAATTGTCGAGTATTTCCACCTGACTTACCCCCACATGCATAGAAACTAGCCGATGCAATCCTTGTAGATTTGAAATACTGGCTGTTAGTAGTATTTTTAGTGGAGTAAATAGAAATTCAATGTATATAATTACCAGTAGTTTGGTTTCAGAATTGTCGAGTGTATCCTTAACCGTTATATTGTTTTCAGGCAAGACCCATGTTCAAAGATCGGAAGAAATTCTCATTAATGGTGGACCCGTTGCTTCAAGGTCAGTATCCAGTCAGGGGATTATACCAAGCTCTTGCTATTGCTGCGATGTGCGTTCAAGAGCAGCCCAATATGCGGCCTGTCATAACCGACATAGTTACAGCGCTGCATTACCTTGCATCCCAGAAATATGACCCCCGAACCAATCCTGGTCAAACCTCGAAAAGGGGTCCATCTTCTCCAAGATTGAAGAGTGATGATGATATAACGCAGATTGGAGGTGACAGGCCAGAGAGAGACTGAGCCGGAGGATTAAGTTAAATGTGCCTAGTTATCAATTTTTGCATCATAGAAGATAACAGGTACTGCCGCCATCCTCAATATTCATACACAGAGAATTTCTGCCTTTTCTTCTCTCTTTTTTTTTTTTTTTTTGCGGTGTACATGAGAGATGGCGTAAAGCGGGAGCCTTGTGCACTGGGTACAACCTACATGAGAGATGGCGTTTCTTGTATGTAAAATGCTTCGTTGTAGGAACATTTTCCCATTGGATTAGTTACCCTTGATTTCTATAAAAGTTCCATTCTTTGGCCGGTTGCCTCCTTTTTCTCTTTTTGTTTCCCACCAGGCGTCTATGCTTGCGCTTTTGTTTCAATTTCATTTTCTATAGCACAATATAGCTGCAAAATAATGGATGTTCTCGTGCACAAGCTTTGTCGTAAAAACAAAGTGGACGTATCTACTTCCTCTTGTCTCCATCGATGCAGGTAATGCCGGGAACATCGTTGTTGGAGAGCTTAAGATGCCTCTCTTCTGGTTAACCCAATTCAAAGGGGGACGGTGGAGGTTCCAGTGAATGATTTGTTATTGTGTGACAGGGGTTGAGTGTGGTGAGTTTTGAGGGTTTAGGGTTTAGGAGGGTAAATATCTTATAGGCTGCCAAAAGAGCTTCGAGATTTTTGGCATCCTTGCACGAGAAGTGCTGATAGAGCCGTCAAATGTACTATGAATTGTGTCATTTCATAGTAACATTGAACAAATTTGTAAAAAGATCTCAACTTTTAACCTTGTTGGTAAAAAGAGGATAAGAGTTGCATTTTTGGACGGGGATGACATCAATGTTACGTATCATTTAATTTTACATGTGCTTTAGCCATTAGATATGATTTTTACAATGATTACGATTTTTATTTTCAATCTCATATGCTCATAATCCGTATCAGTCAATGCTACATAGTATTTAAAAAGAAAAGAAAAAATTTGGACAAGTCAAGCCATTTTTTGTAGTGGGTCATCCACTTGAGATATATAGGATTTTTTGCAGTGGGTCATCCACTTGAGATATATAGGGTACTGAGGGAAAGTGGTTTTAGAGGACGTTTGCATTGCTTTGGTGCTCTATTTGGTGACAAGACGTGACAAGATCAAGTACCATGAATCGTTCGAAGGGTTAATGAATTGGGAAAGCATACCACATTCAAAGCTTTGTCTAATAAAACCAAGGCATTCATCATCCCAAAAGGCCATCCATTATTATTACATTATTGAGAGAGAGAGAGAGAGAGAGAGAGATTCGTGCAAACTCTCTTATGGAAGAGTGGTACCAAAATTAACTAAAAAACTTCCACTAATTAAAAAAGGCAAGTACAAGGAAAAGGCATCCCACTGCCTACAAACAAGCCCAACAACTAAAAAGAAAATATGGTAGATAGGCCCAAAAGTGACTAGCTGGACAATAACAAAAAAACCCTAAAATTGGAAAGGAAACCAGCAGCAGCCACCAAATACGCCTCCATCGCAAGGCCACCACCACGACCAAGGGAAAGAACCAACAGAACAACTAGATCAACGGAAAATGGGGGTGAGCGATCCACCCGCGCAGTGAGCGGTCCCATAATCCTACCAAATAGTGAAAAAACCCCTACAACAGCTACCAAGAAAAAGCACCTCGAAAGTCATGGTCAAATGAAATTTGTCCCTAAAAGCTAGAAATAGTGTACAAGTCCAAGGGATAAAGCCTAACATCCAGTAACCACAGCCTCCCTAGTATTAGAAGAGGCTAGACTACTACTTGTTCCATTGTGAACAGAAGAACTCTCAACAGAGATCATACCTTGTTCCAAAGTTGGATCACACTCTATGTATCTTATTCTTTCAAGCTTTCTCGAGTCACCCTAACGTAACGGCTAAGAGAACTTGGCTAACTTTGATCAATTCCACGACTTTCCATCCTTCTTGTGTTGTGGGATGTGAGTCATCAGTTCTTTCCTCTGCTTAATAGTTTTATTCTCAAGGATCACTAAACTTGGCTTACTTCTTACTGAATGTCGTACTTATCACTCGAGGTGGGGCGAGTGGCAGAGGCCGATGGTAAAGGACGTGTGACATAAAGTAGCATCGGAGTGGAGAGGGCCATGAAGGTCCAGATCTGAGACCATCTCATGGGAATTGAGACAAAGTTCAAACGAACAAAGCACAATGGAAGTCAAAATAAAAACCAAAAGAGAAAAAATTTAGAAAATGAAAAACTAATTAAGTAGAAAGATGGGGGGAGGATGAAGGAAATAATGGGAAATGGAAGGTGCAGAGGGTGGAGATGGATGGGAAAGAGGGAAGGAGGGCTACAAAAAGGTGGGGAAAATGGTGGAAAGATGGGAAAATATTGGGAAAGAGGAAGAAGCATAGGGTGGAGAAGGAAGAGAAAGAGGGAAGTGTCATAACCCGTCTTGAATTATTTTTATCGATGGCGTGAAATGACTAAATTGCCCTTAGACGTTAGTTGGTGTTGTGGGTGATATGTTTTGGTTGTGGTCCAATTCATGTTAAGTCCTAATTGTTTGGACCCAATTAGAACTAAATTTTTCCTAGTTTGTGGTTGGTTGTTTTGTTGCCAACTAGGACCACACACACTCACACACATCCATACCCTTACCCGTTGACCTTTCTCTCTCCTCCCTCTCTCGGTTTTCATCCATTATCCGTACAATTGTACAGTCAACTCATGAACCAATCAATTTAGGCACAGATCAAGGTTTTGGAAGCCATCTTCACGTTCCTTGTGAGCTCAGGAACACATCCATACCATTTTTAGAACGTGAATCCTTCGAAAACCCGAGAACCCATAAATCCCAGATTTTGAGCACTGTTCATGTGATTGTGATCATGGAATTTTCAATGAGTTTTAAGGTTCTAGGAAACTTTAGGACGTCTTCACGAAGCTCGGGGAGTAATTTTGAAGTGTTTTAGACGTCGGGAAACTTGAGTTCATCGAGTTGCAGAGGTTGCCAGAGTTTTCGAGGTTTCTCCAGCGAGATTCTGTGGATTTCAAGGCTTGAAAGTGGTAAGAATGTGTTCTACTCACTCTAATTTTCATTTTGAGACAAATTTCATGGATTTTGGTGCAAAAATGAGTGAGAAATGAAGGTTTGAATATTTTCCAGAAACCGACAATCGCAGTGGTGCCGACGACGGTCTCCGACGAACCAAGGAAGACGAAAGAGAATATTTCGTCAAGTCTGACAAAATATTCTAACGGCGTCAGGTAACGCCGTTAACTTTTATTAAGGTTTTAACGGAATATTCCTAATGGCTGTTAGGCTCAGTTAGGCTTTGGCCACGCGTGGGTGGTCCAAAAATTATTTTAAAAATATGGGGATGTTCATGAGGTTGAGTAGATCACGTTGGTATATTCAAACACCCCATTTGAGCATTGTATGAGAAGTTATTAGCTAGTTTTGGTTGTGTGCTTTAATTAACGTTTATTTAGTTATTTCGCATATAGGTGAGACCTATCCATAGGACGAGCACCATCAATCGAGGCTCGGTGGCTACAACCCTTCAACATACCAGTGAGTGGGCTTTTGGTTTTCCATATATACCTATATACTTGAGATTTTTCGCAAAAAATAAATTTGAATGATTATACGTTTTGAAATGTCATGCAAAGTATCTGCCTATTTTTATTTATGCATTAGTAGTTGCATATATTTATGATTGGTGCTGCGGACGCACAAGTAAGTGTCAGGTAAGTTCATAAATTAAATATATGAGATTGCTTTAGTTATGGGAGATATGATGTGATGCATTGAGAGCTCATAAACCTCCACCCCAGTGTTAGTGCTCCCGCCCAGAGTTAAGGCACAGTCATTCACGTGATGTTCACCTCTCACACCATATGCTCACCTTGGATCCAAGTTAGGTGCACATGCTTGTCGTACAAACCATTACAGGTGGTTCCGACTCGTAGGTGACCCGCGATCATTCGTATGGTCTTCACGTGATCGTAGCACCAAAGCATGTTTATTTTACACCTAGTCTTGTCGTACAAACCACTTTAGGTGGTTCCAACTCGTGTGCAGGATTTGATATGATTAAGATTGGTTATGAGCTATAGACTCAGCCGTGCAGGTCACGTTAGGTGGATCCAGCTGATATGATATATGGCATTGATATATTTTAACTGGATTACTTATGGCATTTCATTGAGATACTTTGGCATGGTATATTTCTATGGATTTTCATCCTGAGCATGATTTCTGATATAGCATATATTATTTTTGTGGGAAATTATACAGGTTTTACGGCGAGGGGTTAGCGCTTTTGATAAATGAAATGAATTTGAAAAGCTTTGTTTTGGCCCACTCACACTTTCTGTTTTGTGCCCCTTCAGGTTTTAGGTTGAAGTGCTTTGGTGGCTCACGGGGATTTCGACGGTGGTTATGACAGAACATTACAAATGTAGGATCACATTTGGGTGTTGTATAATTAGTATTTGTCCAGTCGGACTGCACTTAAGCTATTTATGCTATGATTGTGTATTTCACACTTAATCTCGCACTAGCACCTTATTTTAACTAGTACTTTTAGTAGTACGGTTTTTATTCATTCGCATTTCCTTATCTCTATTGCTTCCGCACTGTGCACATAACTACGTCACCCTCACGTGACGGCCAGCATGCCTAGGTCTAGATCGGGGTGTGTCAGGAAGGATGGTAGAAAGAGGTGAGTTGGGTTCTGCCAACCCCAAGTCGGAGCAAGAAGCGGGGACTAGAAGGGTTTCGTTTTTTCTGAAAACAGAGGGAGGAAAGGTACAGGAAAAACCGCGTGAGAAGAAGAGTGATTCTTTTTGGAAGTCATCAAATCTATCAACAATGTTCATTTTTCTCATCGAGTTATAATTGGTTACAAGTTCTAGTCGTGGAAGGTATGATTCTGTGTTTAGGAGTGTGTCTATAGTCTATACGAAACTCATCTAAGGATTACGTTTAGTATTTAAAAAGCGATTTATAGCAAACATGGTCATAAGTGCTTTCGGTGTTCTAAAAGCACTTTATGGCCTTAAGTCACTATTTTCCAACTTAGCCATCTTCAACACAATCAAATAAGAACTCCCATCACTACTTTTGAAGACTCATTAGGGACTTAAAGGGAATCTTTCTATTCCTAAAAGAATATTGCCTCCAATGTGAGAGTCCTTAGACCATAAATCTAAGGTTTTTACGTTTTTAGGTGCAATTTTTTGTATGTGTTAAAAATTTCGAATTAATTAAAAACTACGTTGTCATAATTTTTTTTTTGTGAACATTTAGACAAACAAAAATTTAAATTCTGACACCAAACTTTTTTCTTCACAATAACGTAACTAAAATGGCTCCATTATGGGATTATGTCATGATCAATTATTTCTTTTCTTAAGCATGACATAGAGCAACATCTTCTTCAATTGAGTAATTCCACATTTGGTTAGAGCCTGACTTGAACCCTCCATTAAGGGATAAAATAAATCAGGAAACTAAGCAAAACGAATTATATAAAATGAGAGAATTGAGTATAAGTTATGAAGTTGCAGTAAATTTTGCAATAATAAAACAAAGAGAGAGGGCAACATGTGTGCAAGGGGCCTACAACTGACGATGCGAGAAAGTTATGCTTTGCAACTTTCACGTGGCGGGCTCAAAATTTTTATACACATTTCGGAGCCCTTTACTATAATGTCTTGTCTCATACACTTTGGAAAGCTTGTACCTCCTAAATTAGGCTTGTACGGTTGTAGGGACTAGATATGGAGAGCACCACTGTCCGGCGGAGAAAGAGTCATCTGATTTGAGAAGAAATACATTTAAGCGCTTAGCTTGTCGATTGAACGTATTTATGAGTTTTCATAAATAATTGTTATTCGCCTGACTTGGCTCGGCCTGATGCAGCTCTACTTTATGTTGATTGGATTATTCTTGCTTGTTCTTCGATTTTGATTTTTTAGTTGAGGTTAGCTCAAGTGGTGAAGGAAGGTGATATACAGATTAGAATTTTGACAAAATCCAAATTTGAATCCCTCCAATATACAATAAGATAAAGTTAGTACTAACCCGTTCTCACAATAAGGTTCAACTCTTTAACAAACTTAAAATTTCATTTGACGCAGAACAAGAAATAGTGGGAAAGGGCAAAGAATTTGGGTGTCCATTCTATTGGGCCTATGGCCCAATTGCCCCATAACAAAGAAAATAAAACTCCTAGAAGTCGCCGACCTATCCAACTCACGTGCAACGCACGTGATGAAGACTTCGTTCCCGCCCAAAGTCGTTGAGAATCCTCAGTCCCAAGAAACCCAAATCGCGATCCTCAGAAATTCAGAGTCCCACAAATTCTCGGTCACAATTTTCACAACCCAAAATGCAGCAGAGATTTTGGTCGCCTTACTCCTCTCGAGTACCCGAAGATCAAGCTTTTGCGACTGTCGGCGGCGGCGCAGCTTCGCAGCAGCAGCAGCCACAGCTGAAGCACCACCACAACAGCACTCCAAGAGCCAGCGCGGATGAACTCCCCGTCTACGACCCGCGATCCGGCGCGGGAAAGAAAGAGGATTCTTCAAGGTCGGTGGAGAAGTGGGTCCATGCCATTCCGGTGATCGTGTTCTTCTGCCTCTTCGTGCTCTGGTGGTTCTCCGTCTCAGGTATTGCAAATTTCGACACGAAATTTGGGTTTCTTGGTTTTATCTGCTTGATTTCTTTGATGGGTTCCTTCTTAATTCTGTTTCTGAAGATAAATTTCTGTAGTTCTGTTTGGTTAGATGGGAACTTTCTGTTTAATATGAAATTTGTTTCTTGGTTGGAGAAAATTGGGTGATTGCTAATTGCCTTGATTCTTTGGGGAATTGGTCCTTTCTGTATATGAATTATGAGTTTTTTGCTATACATGTGATTTCTGTTCAGAATCAGGTACTGTAACGGGGTCAAAAATTTCGATCTCTTCGGGTTCTCTGCTTGATTTCTTTGATGGGTTTATGTTATTGTTTCTTGATAAATGCTTATTTGATGTCTACTTCATAATTCATTCTGTTTGTGAAAACAAGTTACCATTTGGGGAAAAGGGTATTTTCTTGCTCCGAACTTCATTTCTTGGGAGGAAAACTTGAGAAATTGCGTTGATTCTTTTGAAATCGCTACTTCTGTATATGACTATGGGGTGGTTGTTCTGGCTTGCAGATTTGGACAAAGTTTCAATCTCTTGGTTTAATTGGTTTTGCTTGTTTCGATTTCTTGTTCATTACGTTTGTGAAGATAAATTACCATTTGGGGAAATGGGGTATTGTTCTTTTGCTCTAAACTGGTTTATCGGGAAAGAAAATTGAGTTATTTCTTTGATTCTTCAAGAAAATGATACCTCTGAATATGATCATGTGGTTGTTTGTGTAAGTGAGAGGAATTTAATTTTTTCTGATAAACCATCTGTTGCCTTTGTTCGAAAGCAGTAAAAGTGGTGAACATCGACGGAAGAATTACATCTGTAGTCGAAACTGAGATACCGCTCCTTCTCAACGAGACTCGAATTGATATTGCAATCCTGGCAGCCGTGGCCATGTCACCAGTAGCCACAGTTCCTCAGAATCTCACGGTCAACAATGCAACTGAAGTTCCAAGTGGTGGGCGAAACTGAAAGATAACCAATTTTCTTTCACCACAGTAAAACAGCTTTACGAATCTATTTTTGTCAATCTTGTAAACAACTTAGAACTGCGATTCATGCGAAGCTAGGAGAAGACGTTCATAGATGTATCTACTTGATACGCTGATGCACCGGCAAGGAACTTGTCGTAGTTAGACTTTACAGAGATAACAACGGTGAATAGTGTACTCGGTTCAAATTTACATAAAAAATAAGAGCAATGAATTTCCAATTCGTAGCTGTCTGATTTCACCATTGATGATATTTTATGAACTTTCTATTGAAGCTAAATTTAACAAGGGACCTTTTCGTATTCTATTCCCATCAAAACTTGCCATTTGATTTTATTCCTATAACCCTCTAAACTCTCAGACCGCGGGAAACAGAACCAGATACAAAAATAGATCAAGGAGAGATGTTCCCTATTCCTACAAGCCTCTACAATTCACTAACCTCACCTACTCTGCAGTTGTCGATCGATAAGTACATGGTCGAGTTCTTCTGCGATGGAAGAATTCTACAACAATCTCTCCTCGGTGACTGCAAAAGGAAGTTTCTTTCAGTTAGAAACGGAATTATGAACGAAATATATGAGGATAGTATTAGGATCAATGTGAATGCAGTAAAACCAGTAACCCTAATTCATAATTTTGATTGATACATGCTTTTATGTGTTGTAAAAGAAACGATGCGTTCGAGTTACGAGTCAAATTTCATGTGCTGGAAAAATCATACCTTTTCCCAACGAAGAGGATCCGGCCTTTTTAAGACTACGATGGAATCAACTACTTCTGGTGACGCCATTTTCCATCGGCAGTGAGGAATGGGAGATTTGTGACGGGTGTAGTAGCCAATAATTTTCTTTCCACCTTGATCATACCGCGTTGAGCTCAAGTAAAAAATGAAGGGTTTCTGACATGGGTGCTTGGGCACAGGCCTAGTGTTGAATGCATATGCTGTGTAATCAGCTCTTCTATACCAATTCAGAAAGGTTCTTGAGGGCGTCTCTAGTTCTCTTGGAGACATGATTCCCCTAATGATTTGAACTACATAGCCCCATGAAACAGAGATGGACCAGTATCGATCTTTATCGTAGCAGATTGATTGCTGCATTATACTAGCCGAGTCGAGCTTGACGGATTGGAATAGATGATGAAGCGCTTTCCCTCGAGTCATGTGCGGGAAAACTGGTTCAACTACATCAAGGTGGTGAAGTGACACCATAGGAGTCACAGGATGTGCACTCAGAAGGCCTAGTAGGTCTCCATACACATCGTACTGCACAAGCACAAGAAACAGAGTTCATAGTTTGTATTTGCAAGTTATTTCAACAATTCTTGCATACCAAGAAATGTAAAATGACATCTGAAACTCCATCACATTCAATTTCATTGATGAAAAATCCACGAAAAATGAAGCCAGAAAATGGCTGATGCAAAGTACTAGAATCACAAAATTCTGGTCACCAAATGAAGTAGCAGATGACACAGAAAATGGCTGATCCAAAGTTTTCGGATTCAAGCAATGCTCAGAGAAAAAGGAAAAAACACAGATCAGTTGCCAATTTTCAAACATTTTTCATGTTTTGTTTCCCTCTTACCTGATGAAATCCAGTTTCCTTGGTCAGTGGCACGCCTAGTTCAGCCATACAAGCCTGCATTCGATCATCACTGCCATATAATGCGGGATAGCGCTGAATGCACCGGTCCTGCATCTTTTCCAATTCCACTGCCAAAGGGTAACTTATAGCAAAACCTCCTCCACCATACGCCATAGAATACGAGAAAAATATGTTCTGAATATGACTCTCCGACGAGCTTCCCACGTAATAAAATTGCGTGTGGTCATACTTTTTGAGAATCCTCACCACATTTTCCACGATGAAAACCGTGTCATCATCCCCCATCACAAACCATCTCACATCTTTCACTCCAAGCCTCAATGTCTCCGAAACCACCCTTGAAATCCTCAATGCAGATCGCCGCCCCTGACGATTCGTGTACTTAAATCCGCTTGTGTCTCCTGAAATCCGAATCTCGGGTAGCCCCTCACTTCTTCTAGTCCTTACCCTTTTGTCCAACCAAACTACCCCTCTAGTCTCGTTAGGCCTCCACCAAACTTTGATGTATTCCTTCCTCTTCTGCCACAAATTTGAGGAAGCAGCTATCCCGAACATAATGTGTTTAAGCTCCGTGTCGTATCCCCGAGGCTTTTGATAAAGTGCAGCCACTTGTGGGGATTCTTCGTCGCCTTCTTTGTGGTCCTCCCCGAGTTTTAGATCAGCCGAAGTAGTGGCATTGGAGATGGATTCCAGGTGCCGTTCGGTGGAGGGATCTACAGCGGTGGTTGGACAATCTTGGCGGTCGTAGAGAAGGCGGTTGGAGTAGTAGATGACATAGAGAACAGAAACGGTGAGGAGAACCCAAGTGAGGGTGGCTCTGAAGCCTATCATTGGAGGAGCCACTAGTGCAGGTGACGATTTCTTTTCGGAGTCTTGGAGTTTGTGGTTGCTGTTGGTGCTGCTACCTCCCATTTCTGTTGAGTTTGGTTTCAAGAAAGGAGGTGGCAGAAAGATGGTTTCCTTTCAAAATTGTTCGGATCAGAGAGAGAGAGAGAGAGAGAGAGAGAGAGAGGAGAGGGAGGGGGATGTGTGTTGTGTCCTAAAGTTTGTTATGGAATGAACGAAGTTGACTGCGAGGAAGTTGGAAGTTTATTGACCTTTCTGCCAAAATGACACATATTGATCATGTCTAAATTGCTAGGAGAAGGAAAAATTGTATGGTTTGTGGGAGAGCAGGCAGTTTTTATGAGAAATATTTTTGCACACCAACCTCTTTCTCATGAAGATTTTGGTCTTACGATTGTAACCGAAATGAAAAACATTGGTCATATGATTAGCAAAATTTGGGTGGGCATGGCAAGTTGAGTGACAAAAGTTGTCATGTGTTATAAGTATTTTGTGTTTTAATAACTCAAATTTTGTAACTTGTGAACTGAATTGGACCTACCACTTGGTGTGCTAGGTGAAAATGGCACTCTCCACTCCAGTCTTCTTCAATAGAATTGTAGGATTCAGGTCCTCTCCAAACCCGTGCCTCCAGATACTGAGGACCAAGTCATATTAGCCGTTTGATTCAGATCTTGCAGTCGGATTTTGATTTAATTTATTTCCCTTCTTCTTCGACTTTCTTTTCCTCCCTCTTCCTATTTCTTCCTCCTTGTCTCTATCTCTCCCCCTCTTCTGAGTCTTCTCTCCCAAATCTCAATACCAGAGAGAATTGTACGATTATAGTCATATATCGTGACAATATAAATCGAGAACGTTCCATTTTGCATGTTACTAGTATAGGTAAAGTAATTGATAGATGATCACGGTCCACCTTGAGCCCACAAGAACTCAGAAATCTCTTTTCTTTGCCTTTTGGACTCTTTGTTCTTTTGGTTATGAAGCAATCTGGAGCCCCCCAAACTCACCTCAAGTCCTTGAGCTATCACTGTGCCAAAATGTTGAAAAAAGCCCTTTTTTTTATTTTAGTTTGGGCCATCACCCAACAATCCCATATAATGACGTGAAAGTGACAGAGATAAAAGAAATAGCTGAGACTTTTTTTTGGTGTATCCACTATCTAGTGTTTTTTATATTTTAACCGTTAAATCTTTATTCAAAAATTCAAAACTCTTTCGGACTTTGTGAAAAGATCCCTCTCATTGGATTATCATGACCTCTACGTTCCCACTTTTCAAAAAGCGATCAGGAAGAAGAATTCAAAAAGTGATAAGGCTGCAAGAAAACACCTAAGAAGGAAGTTCCGTGAAAGACATAAAATACAAGATACTCCGGAGCACCTAAATTTTTTTGAAGCTGTAATCCCAGTGTGACATCAGACAACCCAAGTTAGTTCGTAGCTGTGTAACTTCCCTTTACAACGTTATAGCAACACATGGTGGTGTGACTCCCATGCTCTCTCTCTCTCTCTGAGGCAATCACAATCGTTGGGAGGGACCGGAAGAGGATCCTCTCCTGGGCTCAGGATAGGATTCTCCTAACTAGTTCATCTAGACCGTTCAAATTTAATCCAACGGTTGTAATTATTATAATTTTTAAAAAATTTACTGTTTGAAATCTTTGGATTAAATTTAAATGGTCTAGATAAGTTGGTCAGAAGAATCGCTATCCTGAGCTTAGGAGAGGATACTCTTCCGGGAGGGACCATGTTCTGGGGGTGGTTCTATCTGCCAGAGAGACTAGAGGTTGGGGCCTACCAAGGAAAGGGGCTGCACTTGAGCATGAGGGGAGGTTGTGTCGTCGGATGTGACCCTTTCAGGCCGTGAACGGATAAGATGTCTCTGTGTGAAAAGTTTGTTCACGTGGTTCTAGGACCTACCACATGTGTGAGTACCACATAATTAAAGGTGAGTATCATATATGTCACTGGAAAAAGCAGAAATCTCACCCCAACTTAAATTTGATATTAAGTTAACAAAAACTGAGGCTTATTTTTAGTTCCGTTTATTAGAATTCGATTTTAATTTTATTTTACTTTCTGTAATTCAAAGATCATTATTTTACTTATTGAAATTCAAAATTCACTTCATTTTGTTCTTTTGTTCTTTGGCATTCAATTTTGATTCAATTTTGCTTTCTGAAACTTGAAAATCATCTCTATAAAACTCGAAATTCGCTTCACATTGCCTTAGATCTATTAATTTTTTATGTAGGTTTGATTTGAGTGCGCCATGCTAAGTAATTTATTTATTTTTCATCTTTTTCATCTCTTCAATTTCTTTTAAACTTAACATTCTCTGATTGTTGAACTGTGGGTTTTATTGAGTGTTAGGTCTCACTTATGTTTTAGGAGGTTACTTATAAGTTTTCAGGAGAAAAGAGAGTCCACATATCAAAGTAGTACGAATTTTGAGTTTTAGGAAATAAAGTGATAACATTGTAATTATAAGAGGCACAGTGAAATCAAAATAGAGTTTAGCATAACTAAAAATAAGCCAAAAATCGATAACTTAAAAGTTTGTGCTTTTTGAAGAGAAATATATGCAGCTAGCCACTTCTTGTTCGTATCTGCCAAGGTTTGTAACTCACGATTTGGCAATGGATTTCAAACCAAAAACATCTCTCTCTATTCCCCAAGAATCAAGTTCTATATATAACATTTACCACAAATTCTAGTTTCTAATTTATAATTAGCCTAGTCTACACACACTGCTTATTTTTCCTACTGTTGATACCTTGCCTCATGACTTGGAACTCCAAGGTTAGTAAAAACGGTGAGTAGTGAGGGCAATATTTTTCAGTCGCCCTCGTGAAAACCTGCCACCAGTATCGATAACAAAACCCTAGCGATGATCAACTCGTGTATTGAAGCAAAACTCAATTCCTTGTACTCCATAGCATCGAATTATATCACAAATTGTAACATAAATGTTAGCATTCATCTCCCTCTGCTAATATCGATTGTGTTAAAAACCAAAACACACAATACCCTGTAGGATAGGGTAAGACTTGTACAGTTTCCTTCAAGTTCCTTATGCTTTGGTATAACCACAGCACTTACACTGATTTTTTTCCTTAAGAATTTCATTGTCAATTTTTTTATTTTTATTTCAACCCATCCAATATATAGTAACGCATACTTGAGGAACTAATTTGATCAAGTAGGTTCTCTCTCCGCCAATTGAGGGAGGGAAAGGGGAAAGAAAAAAAAAGAAGAGAATCCTGCTATTTTGAACAAACTCTTCCATGTTCCATTGTTCCATTAGCATGAGCAAATTTGGTAACTTCGACAAACCTAGGTAAATGCTTTTTAGCCCTCCCAACATTGCCATGTGCATGTGTACTCCACTTACATCAGAGTTCTTACCCATGACCACTCCACCTCAGGACAAAATATTATGCTTCTATAGTTTATCTTACCAATTTCGGAAAGTTTATCCCAAAACCCAGGTAAACTTTTAAAGCCACAAGCAGTTTGATACCCCCAAAAAGGATAAATCTTTGTCCTAATTAAAAGAAAAAAAATAATGCTGACAAATTCACAAACCTAATCATAACATTCAAGAAAGTTTCACCGCCACGAGTTGTTTGTGTACACATATATATATATATATATATATATATATATATATATATATATATATAAATATATATCTAGATTGTGTATATATATATATATATATATATATATATATATGTATATATATCTAGGTATATGGTCTTCATCATTTCTCTCTTTTCCAGTGCAAAATTATAGAAATCTTACTTTCTATCTAGTACGACAGAAAAACACAAGAAGCATTGCCGATCGAGCTATACGGGTCGGATGAAGGGCTCCTAGATCTACTACTGCTTCTGTGCCTGTGCCTGCCTTTGTTGTTTTAGCTGCTGCCAACCAATTTCCAGTCTGTAAAGAAAGATACCAGAAGCTCAATCATATATTGGGGGCAAGGTAAGAAAGATATTAATAATGGAAGCACAAAATAAATTAATACTGTTTATAATTTTGATCTCAATCATATCATGGAGCATGTGTAGTTTTTCTTGCCTAATCCTCCGTTGCGCTCTCTATAGTGTCTTTAAGAATTGGGATTGGTATAACAAGATGTGGAAGAGGGCATGTGAGTATTTGGTATGGAGGGATGGGAGGCCAAACCTTTTGTTTTCTCACAATCATGTTATCTTTCTTGTTTTTCTCTCTCAATCTTTTAATTTGCCCACTAAAAACTGCTCCCTCACCCATATTGTGCTATCTTCTCTTCTCTCTCTCACCAATTATTTTCTTGAAACAAAAGCCATAAAAATGAGCTTCTTGAATTTGCTAAGAATTGAAACTCATTTATTTCCCAATTGCCTTGTTTAGCAGTACACAAGTTCAGCTGATCAGGTACTTCTTCTGTATATGCAAAATCTTTGAATGTTCTCTCTCTCTCTCCTCTTAATATAGCCAACCATTCCAGCTACTGAGCTACCAGTCTTGTGTGGCTGAATAAAATTTTTCTACAACACTCTATTGGTTAATGGGTTTTTAGGAAGATGCATGATGACAGAAAATTGAACTACTTAAACAAACTTTTTGGGTCCACTGATTCTTGCAGTTTTGAAAGTTCAAATTCAACTATACATCCAGCTTGGTAAATTTGAGTTCAATATGCATGATCAGTTGATCACTTCCTACTTCTATGTGATCCTTAAATATTACTCTAATTGCAAGATTTTGAATGACATTTTTGTCTTTTGAGTTTACGTAGAAGCCAAATGAAATGCCAAACTTAGAGTTAGAACATCTCCAACAGACTAGTTAAACTCACTTTTAATTAAGTCATTTTCAGTCAATGAGCTCAAAGGCACTTCTCCAAGAAACTAGCTAGCTATCCACGAATCAAATTTAATCATGTGAATAGTATAGCTACCTTTGCTGGAGATGCTCTCACGACATGTTTATTTGAACTCTAATAATTCCTACTTCATCAATTCATTCACCTTAGGTTATAACAACCGTATGTATGATTCTCCTCTCCAACTATGCTTTTGGTCAATTTGTTGCCTAAGTTATTGCTTTCTATATCATTAATGTTGCATATTTTTCAACTAATGACCTTACATAAATTGATTAATTATTGTAATATGACCATGCATTTCTACTGTGAATTATATAAATCACAATCGATCGCGGGAAAGAAATGGGAGCAAGGATGTTGCTGTAGTGTCCTTTTTAATTAAATAGCACACCCACCTAGTTCCCACCCTGACCTCTTGTTCAAAGTACCATATAAGCCGGTATAGCACAAAGAATTGCAGTTGAAACATGAGGTGCTCATCACTCCACTCAGGAGCTTTTCAAAGTTTCAATGAGGACTAAAACCCTATACCTAACACATGTTTAGTTGGATATATGCATGATTATGTCAAGATTTATCAGCTGAATTAGTGGCTTTTATTAATTCCATCGAGATTGTCTGAACTTAACTGCTTGCTCATGAAACCTAAGACAATCCTTTTTATTTACTTTCAAAATTTGTGTCATGAGTTCACATCAATCCAAAAGTTTACACATCACCGTCCATGTCCCTCTAGTCTGAAATTTGGCCAGTCCCCAACTCTCACAGCCCCACAAGAGCTATGGTCAGTGTAGGCATTGGGTGCAAGGAAAACAACATGATTAACATTGCATTAGTCCACATCTTGTTCCTATCACTTATGTCGCGACATGGCTCATTCTCTTTCACTCCTATTTTTGTAATATCTTCAATAATATCTTCCAAAGTGTTGTGAACTAAGTCCAGCTTGCAATGTGGTGTCCTTGTTTCGAACCATTTATCTTTTTCTTCTTCCCGTTTTATGCATTACTTTTTCTGTAGTATTCTATGTCTATTAATTTAGTCTAACGACAATCAATTTTCACTTTATTAAAAAAAATTACCTGTTCAGATTTAGAAGGCAGTTCTGGAATAAAGGGGAGCTGCACTATAAATAATTATCACGAATCAGGCATAATAAAACAAACTAAATAAAGTCAAAATTTATCCTTAGCAAGTATATAATTAATGACCTTTTAAAAAAGAGCCTTTATCTAAAGGATTTTTTTTTTTTTAAATAGGACTAGTTGTGGGGCTCATTTATACATCGAGCTCAACGATTTCAACCACTTATTTTTCGAGTCTTTATTCATAGATAATTTTTGCAAAAAATCCATTTAATCTGAAATCATTTACTCGCTGATTTTCATGATAAAATTTGAATGTTTCTTAGAAAATAATGTTCGTCAATTATATGAACTCAATTAGATGCCTAAAACATTTTCGATTTTTTGCTAATATTTTGTAAGGATGATCTATAAAATGCAAACTAAAAAATAGACGATTCGGATCATAAAAATCTAATGCGGAGTGAGTCATACATACACATGGTGCTTCCAGTGGACGTTGAAATTAGCATGATTCTAACAAAATTGCTACACAATTTTTGAGTTCCCCAACATTTTTTACATAAATATTTCTCAAAATAAAATGTAATAGTGAACAAATAGAAGGTTAAATTATGAAACCACGTATTGTTGCAGCGTAAAGTGGTCCTCAATTTTGTTATATTCTTCTGCAAATATCAACGAGAACATTTTCCCGGTGACGCATGATTTTTTTATTTTTATTTTTTAGATTGTATAATATAATAAGGCTTCATATTTTAATTTTTAATTATCTGGTCACAAAATATCCATGCAGAGATGGAAGACGAACAGTTCTCAGACACAACGGCACCCGCCCTCATCCCGCCATTCCCAAGAGACTCCCGCGGCTCTCTCGAAGTCTTCAACCCCTCCACCTTCTCCACCGCCGCCAAACCAACAAAAACTACAACCGGTTCACCAGCCTTCCGCTCCCAGCAGACGTGGCAGAGCTGGACAGACCCACTTGCCACCACCCCGGAACCCGACCCATTACCCAACCTCGCCTCCAAGTCCACCCGCACCGCCGACATCACAACCTCATGGATGGCCCTCAAGGACGTCGCCCACCACTCCCCAACCCCATCTCCGCTGTCCAATATTCAGCAGACAATCTCCTCCTCCTCTGTCGATGCAAACGACAAGCCGTCCGACGACGCCGCGCAGAGGGCTGCCGAGTGGGGTCTGGTGCTGAAGACGGACGAGGAGACCGGGAAGCCGCAGGGAGTCGGCGTCCGGACCTCGGGCGGACCCGAAGACTCGACTTCCAAACCGAGTCTTGGCGGAGGAACTGAGGCCTCGAGAAGGAACTCGAACAACTCGACTCGGAGCTCCGGCGAGTTGTCGTCGGACGACGTGTTCGGCGGAGGGAAAGAGAGAGGGATTCCAAGAGTTTCGAATGACTTGAAAGACGCGCTGTCGACGTTTCAGCAGACGTTCGTCGTTTCGGACGCCACCAAACCCGATTACCCGATTCTTTACGCCAGCGCCGGGTTCTTTAAAATGACCGGGTACACCTCCAAGGAGGTCATCGGCAGGAACTGGTAATTATTTAACTTTTTTACTCTTTACCGTTTTATTAATTTTATTAACATACCCCTCATTCAGTTACCCCTCTCATCATTTCACCATATAATCTATTTTATTTTACATTGCCATCTAAAGATCAATTTTTAGAATTCAGTCAAGTTAGTGACCATTAAGTCATTTATACAATTATATTGCATGCATCAAATAAGTAGACCGTTATGATAATAAGTAGCATTTTCATAAGAAACCGACAATTTTTTCTTTATATATCTATACAAATTTTAATAGAACACTCTTCGTTAACTAAAAATTAAGACAAATACTATTAATAGAACATTTTTTTTCAACTAAAAATCAAGAAAATGCTATTGTACCCTTTCATGCATACTTGAAAAAAAAATTCATGCGCATTAAAGTATTTTCACACAAAACAAATTATGCTATATTTCTTATTCTATCACCCACATATTATCAAAGCATATCTCTAATTTAAAAAAAATAAAAATAAAAATAAAAACCTTAAATCCCAAGTTCTCTCTTTCCCTTTCTCTTGAATTTTTTTTAAGTGCGTTGAGAATACGGTCCGGTACACCAAGTGTCTTAGTACAAGTGGTTAGAAGTTATTTTTTGAAATATCCAACAACTTGTATTAAGACACTTGGTGTATTGGATCGTGTTCCTGCAACACTGAAAAGTTTCTCTTCTCTCTTTCACATATCTCTCCAACTTCCCTCTTTTCCATGTATATTTTTCTTCTTTTTAAATCTTTTATATTTACACATACATAGTGTGTGGACTTCATATAGTATAACTGAATGGTCTATAAATTGAATACATTTTTCCATAGATAATATTTAGATAATGATATAAAAAAAAGGAAAACTAATAAAAAGGGTTTGAAAACTTTGAATTTTAATGATAAGGACAAAATAAAGGGTAAAGTGAATAGTACCAGGATTGACTTTTTAGTGTAAAAATGTAGTTTTTCGTTAAAGTGAACAGTACCGGATGTTTTTCGTTCAAGTTCCCTAAAAAAAATGAATGGTCCTAATTATACATTTGGAGAAAGAGTTGAAGGGTGATATCCTTAATTTTATTTTCAACTTTTTGCTATATTTATGGTAACGGTAATAACGGTTTGAAGTGTGATGAGGGTGGTTTTGACAATTTCGGGGTTTTGTTGGGGTTTCCTGTTTTTTTTTGCAGCCGGTTTTTGCAGGGGGCGGGTACGGACCCGCAAGATGTTGCACAGATAAGGGAGGCTTTGCAAGGGAACAAGAGTTACTGTGGGAGGTTGCTGAATTATAAGAAAGATGGGACCCCTTTTTGGAATTTACTCACTATTGCTCCCATCAAGGACGAGAGTGGGAAGGTTCTCAAATTCATTGGGTATTTTTCTTTCTTTCTTTCTTCATGTTGAATACTTTTTCGTATTGAAAGTGTGAGTTGTCATACTATCAGTCTCATAATATTTATGGGTTAGATTCACCGACGCACAGAGTTGTCATACTATCAGTCTCATAACATATCATGTCGCCTGATGTTATGAATTATATAACATTTTAGATTGTTTGATGTGACAAATTTCTTGTATGTAATCATATGTATGTGTCGGGTATAAAAGATTTTTCAATGTGTCTGAAACACAAGTACATACGACATATGTTACTATACAAGTGAAGGGATACTTGAAAAAAAAAAAAAACTTTTCTTTGGATAATGATATAAGGTGCACCATCCGATGTTCTAGGCATAATGAAAAATCTCTCAGGTAGTACAAATATGCTCGAGCGCATCATGGACTGTCTAGTAACGTGGGTATAGACACACATGTAAAGGTCCAATAATTGTTCTACTTTTTCTCCAACTGGGGCTGCCTTGCTCCTCTCTAGTCTCTATAATCTTACTAGATTCAATTAGCCTGTATAGGACATGATTGTGATGGAGTGTCGTGTGTGTGTGGACCTTCCTGTCATAGACCACATGTGCACCGTGTATTGTATTCAATTGTGAGGCTCTCGTGTCTATCTCTCTTCTCATGTTACACATCACGTGAGAAAAAAAAACAAACACAATACAGGGTTCAGTAACTAGTAAGCTATTTCCCATGCATGCATGCATGCACTTGCCGACATGATACTTGATGGGTGGGGAGGGAGATGGATGGACATGGCCTAGAGAGACAAGAATGTTGGGGATATGGACATTTTAGCAACTATATATAAGCATTGCATGGGAATGCATGCGATGCTAATTATCCATGCATGCTTTTGTTTACTACTTTCGTGACGTGGCAGAATGCAAGTGGAAGTGAGCAAGCATACAGAGGGGTCCAAGGATAAGATGCTGCGTCCTAATGGATTGCCCGAATCCTTGATTCGATATGATGGTATATATTCTAATTATTTCTCTAATTCAATTGTTTTTTTTTTCCAGATTTTTTGTTTGGTGATATGATTGAACTAGTACCAGCCATGAACTACAAAGATTTCATAGCTCAACAAGTGACTAACAAAAAATCATAAGTTCGAGTAAAAAGAATTTGCTCAATAAACCAAAACGAAAATCGAAGGTGTTTGTTTTGACATAAGGAATTTGAAGACTAACGAAAAATCGACATGGTGAGAGTGATACAGAAAAGTTGCTTCCCAGAGTTTTGAAATCACTGATACTACTTAGAAAATACCTTTTCTTTCCAATTAAAATGTAGTACTAGCTAGCTAGAGATAGATTGCGAAATCTGCATATGAAAGCATCTGTCATTGTTTTCGAGTTCTTATGGAAGATGAACACTCAGTGACATATCTAAAATTTATATGCTTTCTCTAAAACCAAAAGTTTGCTAGTATTGTTATGCAACCAGTCAAATTTGTACTAAACTGTCATCAAACTCTAGCTTTTTTTTTTCCGAGTATGAAGTACTACCGGCGTTTTTGAGATAGCGACTCGAAGACTAAAACTGAAACATGCAAATGATTGTCACATTGTCTTAGGTTTTGAGCTAACTGATAATTGGATTTGTTGCAGCTCGTCAGAAAGAGATGGCTTCAAACTCAGTATCTGAACTGGTACAGGCAGTGAAAAGACCAAGATCACTTAGCGAATCAGCAAATCGTCCCTTCTTTAGAAAGTCAGAAGGTGGCAGGGCAGAGGAGAGAACAGATCAGCCTCCAGCTAGGAGAAACTCTGAGAGTGTTGGTGTACCTAGGCGAAACTCACGCGGGGATCATCCAAAAATCTCAATGCAGCGTATCAACGAGTTGCCTGAAAAGAAACCGAAAAAAACTAGCCGGCTTTCTTTCATGGGGTATAATTTCATCTATTCATATGAATATAACTACTGAAAAATGTTAAGGCATGCATAGACTTAATACTTTCCTCTACGATTTTACTTCACAACTTTAGGAGGATTAGGAAAAGCCAAACTATTGAGGAAAGCTTTGACACCGGAGTCCCTGAGGATAGCTATGAGAGTGACGAGGAGAGACCGGACAGTCTTGACGACAAAGTAAGACAGAAGGAAATGAGGAAGGGTATTGATCTTGCTACAACACTCGAACGTATTGAGAAAAACTTTGTCATTACTGATCCAAGGCTGCCTGATAATCCCATTGTAAGTTTCACTCAAACTTTGTCATTAAATTTTCACAATCGAGGTTTAACTAACGCAAGATTTAAGCATGTGATATTTATGAGCGTTTGCATTTCAGATATTTGCGTCCGACAGTTTCTTAGAGCTTACAGAGTACAGCCGCGAAGAAATATTGGGAAGAAATTGCAGGTGTACTTCAATATAAATAAACTGGTTTTGTTGTCTGGCGAGTTGCTTTAAGAAGCTCAATGATCCTCATTCGGGATCTGATCATCCCAAAATGTTCGGAACTTAGAAGAGGGTTCTAATTTGTTTTGTTGTTTGGATGTCTTTAGGTTCCTGCAAGGACCTGAAACTGATCCGGAAACCGTGAAGAAAATAAGAGATGCAATCAACAACCAGACTGAAGTTACCGTGCAGCTCATCAATTATTCGAAAAGCGGTATGTTTCCTTTTTCCATTTGACGCAAGGCACATCAATTAACTACACTTAACAAATAATAAGGAAAATAAGTTTATACTTGAGCTCCAATTCAAATTTCCACTCTAGCAACACCGATACTGTCCCCACTTGGCCACCTGCTCAATCCGTTAGGTGTGGGGTTTTATTGCAAAAGATCTCGGTATTAGTTAGAGTGGGGTAATTCTATTTAAAAGGCTTGTTCTCAAGCCTTCTGGCCGATGTGGGACAGAGGAATTCTAACACCATAATTAATTAAAATCCGTTTGCACTCGATCCAGGTAAAAAGTTCTGGAATGTATTTCATCTGCAGCCTATGCGTGATCAAAAGGTATGATCTACACAGATATTGAACGAAAACAATGCAACTACAGTTACCTGCAATAGAAAAGACTCCGGAACTGAATGACATATGATATTTTACTTGTTTCGGTAAACAGGGGGAGGTGCAGTATTTTATTGGGGTGCAACTAGATGGCAGTGAGCATATTGAGCCTCTTAAGAACGCTATTCCTGAAGATACCGTAAAAGAGAGCGAAAAACTGGTCTCAACTTTCTTCACTTTTTTTTTTTTTTTTCTATTCCTGTATTCTGCTCTTGAATTTCTGTTCAGAATTAAGCTTATTTATACAGTATTCGATTTCTACTTTTAGATCAGAGAAACTGCAGAAAATGTCGATGAGGCAGCGAGAGAACTTCCTGATGCCAATTTGGTAATGTCTTGATTTAAATCCTCGTCATCTTAAATTTTTTTATATGTTTACGAATTTGACAGCATCCTTTTCTACTGCAGAAACCAGAAGATCTGTGGATGAACCATTCGAAGGCTGTTCATCCAAAGCCTCATAGAAAATATACCCCCTCTTGGGTAGCTATCCAAAAGGTACTGATCATCATTCAGTTACGCATGGTTTATGGATTTCGTGTAGTGGGAAAAGAAAACCTCTCTCGATTTTCAGAATTCAGGATTTATTTTAAGAACCTTGAGTTGCAAGCAACTAAAATTGAGCGAAGTAATGCTTCTTCTCAGAGACGTGGTTTATGTGAATGTACTTTAGCCCTTTTATTATCCACTAAAATTTAGAGTAGAAGCTCAAACTTTGGCAATTTCTTTTTTGTTTTACGGGTTAGCATTCATTTTTGTGGTATAGAAAATCACTTGCATTTTGTGGATTTATGTTTGCACTATGCATGGAAGTTTTGATTAATAATGCAGATTTATCTCATACATAAAGATATATTTGGTCTATTAAGTGTTAGGGCTTTCTTCTATTGATTTTCTTGAATATCTTCACCCTTTATATTACGGTAGATTGCTGAAGGAACCCTTGATTCTGCAGATTCTAGACAGTGGAGAGCCGATCGGATTGAAACATTTTAGGCCTATAAAACCCTTGGGATCTGGTGATACTGGCAAGTTAGTATTTTCTATCTTCGCATTTTTACCTCCGGTTTTCACTATTAATATAATGAACTTGAGGAATGTTAATTACTTGGTGGCTCTGATCGAAATCCATTGAATAAAACTATAGATCTTTAGTATACATTTGTTTTACTTGTCGATATTTAGGAAAAGTCTTTTAGTTGCAAACTCATACGAATCATTCAACATTGTATGTTCTTATGTCAGTGTGCATTTGGTTGAACTGAGTGGAACCGGTCACTACTTCGCCATGAAGGCTATGGATAAGGGTGTCATGCTCAATCGCAACAAGGTACTGAAATCCATGATTTTATGTGTCTTGATTACCTTGCTTTACGATTTATTTGGAGTCAAGTTTTTAGGAACGTTATGGTACCGCCACTTCCATATCTCTTTACAGGACTCCTGTCGTTCCTTTCTTGCAGGTGCACAGAGCTTGCGCAGAGAGAGAGATCCTCGACATATTGGATCACCCTTTTCTTCCTGCATTGTATGCTTCATTTCAGGTTAGCAAGAATGGATGATTTCTCTCTGCAGAACTCATCTTTTTGTTTCTTTCACACTCTTGCTTTTGCCTCATTCATTTTGCCACAAGGCAACACCTGACTTCAGATTAAAACTATCATTTATATATGTTAGACGTTGCTTACTTACATATGGATTTCTTTTCAAACTTCAACATCTATAAATTTTGCAGACCAAAACACATGTTTGCCTCATTACTGATTACTACCCGGGTGGAGAACTCTTCGTGCTTTTGGACAGACAACCGACGAAGGTTCTTAAGGAGGATTCTGCGAGGTAAATCACGAGAAATGATAATGATGCAATAGGCCACAGACAATTGCAGTTGAATATTTCAGTATTTCTAGTCAAATAATATTCAAATTTGATTGCGATCAAAGGTTTTACCGAATTGTAAACAAACGACTGAATGCTGTTTTGTGTGAACTGTAGATTTTACGTTGCAGAGGTAGTTGTTGCACTGGAGTATCTTCACTGTCAGGGTAAGTTGTGTGCATCATTCACATGTCTTTCTCTGTGTTGCAATGATGTTTGTCCTTCCCAGTATCTTCAAGTTATTGTATTGAGCCTTCTGTTGTTTTCACAGGGATAATATACAGGGATTTGAAGCCAGAAAATGTTTTACTTCAGAGCAATGGGCATGTGTCCCTGACAGATTTTGATCTATCGTGTTTAACATCTTGCAAACCACAGGTATCCAACCACATCTTACAAACCATATCTTACTTGGGAACTAAAAGAAAAAGTCCTTTTTGTTCTGAAGTAATAATTATGTTTCCTTTCAGCTTCTACTTCCAAGCATCAAAGAAAAGAAAAAACAACGCAAATCTCAACAAAATATGATCTTCATGGCTGAACCAATGAGAGCATCAAATTCCTTCGTTGGAACTGAAGAGTACATAGCTCCGGTGTGACACTTAGAACACGCTCTTTTTTATTCTTTTCTTCCAAGATATGTCAAACTTCAGGACTCTTCATATATACTGCTTTGTGTTCCCACTACCTTTGCAGGAAATCATAACTGGAGCAGGTCATACCAGTGCAGTGGACTGGTGGGCTCTTGGTACGTAATTTATTCAATTTCGTATTTCAATTATTTTTCCGGCTTTTAGTATGTCATCTCTGCATGAGAATGATAAGAAACTATCTTCATCGCCTCATGATGGGAGTGTCTTACCTCTTCAAGTGATGCAGTAGCATTTACTTTAGCACAAACATATGCATGACTGAAATTAAATCATTCATCTACCATCTGCCACCTCTACTGATCAAATGCATCTATTTTTCAGGTATTCTTCTGTATGAAATGCTCTATGGATATACACCATTCAGGGGGAAAACAAGGCAAAGGACGTTCGCCAATATTCTTCACAAGGATCTTAAATTTCCAGGAAGTATATCGGTAAGATTTACTGTTTGCGTGTATAGATACACATACCTATATGAAATGTGTGTATTCTTGCACCTATAATTCTGTAGGTTCACATGTCTCACAATGCGTTTATGATCGCTTGTTTGATGTGCTTTGGTGGAGGCATTAGGATCTGTAGTGAGAGCATTATGCAGACGAACATATACATTTTTCTTCATTAACAAACTGCAACTCTGAGTTCCAAATATAATATGCATGAAGTTAGAAATTACGAAGTGAAAATGTTCCTCCCTGGTTTGGATGCTAATGGAGTTGTGTCCTGATGCAGGCAAGTCTCCAAGCAAAGCAGTTAATGTATCGGTTGTTGCACCGTGATCCCAAAAACAGATTGGGCTCACAGGAAGGAGCAGATGAAATTAAGCGCCATCCGTTCTTCAAGGGAATCAACTGGGCTCTTGTTCGCTGCATGGTAACACCAAAGGGCTTACAAATTGCATTGCCTGAAGCATTAAAATTTAGAAAGTTCAAGGAGTTCATACTGAAAAGTTTTTAAATTTGCAGAACCCTCCTCAACTCGATGCTCCCCTCTTTGCAAAAACTGAAGCCGAAAGGGGAGCAGATGCTGTAGATCCTGAGATGCAAGATTTACAAACAAACATATTCTAAGAGGTATATATAATATATCTTCTCCACCCGGTTTCGAAGAATTCTGAATGTTGCTAGCATTATTGGTAGATTAACACTTTGCTTTCTTGGTCAGGAATTTTCTGGTGCACGTTTTGAGTACTTAAACTGTATCTCATTCGGGAAATTGCGAAGAAAAGCTCATCGTTTCGTTCAAACATTCCGGTGTAGATGATAGAACTTTAAGGTTTTTAATAATTGTTCGTCCGATGTCTGCAAAGTGTGATGTTTCTGTAATCTATGTTGGTTTGTACTCCAAAAATTTGAAATTTAATTAATTAATTTAACCTGTTTTTCTGTCTGTCTTTATTACTCCATTGCCTTTTAGCCTTCTCCATTGGAGATGGTCTAAATGCTCTTCGGCTTGAATGATTTTTTTTAAGGGTGATCTTCTAAAGAAGATAAAAAAACTCAACGGTTTTGGTTATAAAATTCATATGATGCACATATGCATTATTCAAAAGAAGTGAATATATTCATTCTCCCATAAAAAAACGCAAGTATCATCCTGGGTAAACCTAGACATCTTGCAAATCGAGCTCTAATAGTACCACATAGGAAAAAGGTGAGAACCTAATTAACTTATAAGATGTCAGAGAATAAACGAATAACGTATATTAAACTGACTAATCATGCCGACTACTTACAAACTCAGACATGACTCATGAAAAATGCGAGAATCAAGCTGAGTTTGTCTAGTATAGACCGGCTCAGAACATGAATAGAGATCCACAACCATTATATCCTTAATTACTAGACCATGTATGTCGATTAATGTTATGAGCCGGTTGATTCAGCAATTTTCAAGTCAAGTTTTAGCTGAAATGTCACATCATGTCCTTGTCCTTTCACTTTGGCAAGTCTTTTGTCATGTGGTGAGTCCACAAAATTATTGGGGGCGTACATAATTTCTACGATTCTTCGAATGGATGATGAGTGTCAAGAATATTACAAAATGCCAAGTTGTGATGTGAGAGTGTACAGCCCTGCCGGCATTCGCTTGTGGAAGTGACAACTCATCCTCCGCAAAATTTAAACGCACATGGTTTGTTTAAAACTCAAAATTTAAGCAAACTTTTTGACCAATTCACTCGAAATGACAACAGAATGGCTTTGCATACTTGATGCCAAGCCCTAATTTTTTAACCAAACTGAAACCACCGTGAGTGTTAAAAACAAGAAAGCCATAACAAATTATTAAAAAAACTCCATACGAACTTTTTTTTTCTTTCTATAATCAGAATCGTTTAGTTTTTTAATCTCATCCGAAGTTTATTCCTACGGTATAATATTTGTGTTTTACCTAACTGAATAATACTTGCATTTTTTCAATGGGAGAATGCACATATTCTACCTTTTGCAATAAGTGTATTTTCATCATATAAACTCTATAGTCAATATCGTTCGGTTTTTTTAATCTCGTTTGAAGATCATCATACGGAAAAATTATTTGATTTAGAAATCTTTTAGTCAACCAAATGTATCAAATAAATAGACGGTTCATTATGAATATATTACTAGGTATTCACATCGTCAATTTGTTTCATACATTTTGATGACTAAACAAACTCCATTCGAATATTTTTTTTTTTTGTAGGGATCATCTTCCAATGAAGATTATAAATTGAACGGGTCCAATTATGAATTTCATAAGATAAATATACAGTATTCGAAAGAAGTGAGATATGTACGTTCCCATGTGATGAAACATGAGTATTATCTTATTAAACCAAGATTTTCTTATGGGTAATGCTAGGAAGACTAAATTTGTAAACAAAATTTTAGAAACTAAATGATATGGAAGTTGATAATTGGTTTATTACTTAAACGTTGATAAACATACTCATACCTATTAGTGACACATTATTTAATTTGTAAATTTTATCTTTAAATTTAATTTCCTTAGCATTACCTTCATATATCAAATCATGCTAGAATTTTCGTATGTTACATGTCAACCCATTTTTCACGCATTTATTGGGCCGATAATTTCAGGCTCACAGTCACTCTATTATTGACTTCGCACAAATATTACAAGGCCAATGGAGCAGCTTTGGTGTGATGAGCACGTTTTTGTTTGCCACTATTTATGTGGTGTACGTTCATCATTCTATTTATCATGGTTAGATAAGTTTGAATTTTGAGATTTGTGCTTATCCACTACACGAATCTCGAAATTTAAACTTATCTAACGGTGATAAATAAGGTAGTGAGCATACACAACACTAAACGATGGTGATAGTCCTAAATATCATTTGGTCCACCCATGTGGCACTTGAGTTGATTCTGTTATGAATTATCTTTATCCTTGTATAAACATCCACTCAACCGCACTGTCTCAAGAATAATCACTCACCCTCGCGTTTGAACAACAGACCGTAACGTAATCTCATAAATCATTTTGCGCAACAACAAAAGCAAACTTGAGAAAAGTTGATGGCATTGTACCCAAATACCAGTTTCTCATCTCGAACGCCCTCAAGAATACCCATTTCAGTGTTGCGGGTGAAACACACTACTTATCCGACTATCTTGTTTCTCACGTGATATGATTCACCCGTCGCATGAAAGTTATTTGGTTGATGAGAAAGGGAGAATCATTACCTAAGATGAAGTTGAAGTTGAAGTTGAAGTTGGAGACATGCTATGCCCCATTGCTCAACCACTGCATACGACAGTGTCGCTACTGCACAGAATGCAGAGTTCAGATCCCACTTCTAGGTCCTCCTACGCAACTAAAAACACTTTCTTTGTATCAAAAATAGAAAGAAAGAAAAAACACTATTCTATTTTACTAATTATGATTAGATTATTAAATCTGGATTAGGGTTCTCTGCATTCTGCAGCAAACAGGAAGAATCTCCAACCATTATCATCCAAACATCCAAAATATTAAACTAATTTAAACAAAAGTTAGATCCATTTGATAAACTAATTTAAAAGCTGATTAATATTATAATTTATACATAATGATGCACAGATGGGTCCACATGAACTCCTTTCCTCCATACCTATAAAGCATAATTTTACAGCAAACCAAACAAAATTGTACGACCTGGAGTGAGTGAGTGAGTGAGAGTGGGTGGGCAGCTCAGCTGTTCAGATAAATATTACCTTCTTCCTTCCATAAACAAACTCTTTTACTCAGGTTCGTTATAATCATTCACACCATTACCCGTCTCTCTCTCTCTCTCTCTCTCTCTCTATTTCTTGGATTCCTACTTTCTTCATTTTCCCGGAAAATATTTTACTGTCTACTTCCCGAGAAAACATTCTTTATTACTTTCCCCCTCGCGCTCTCTACTTTCCTAGAAAAGTTCACTTCTTTCTTTGATTGATTGATTACTCATTTTCTCTCACTCCAATCCTCCAAGAACCCATCTTTCTTTCAATCCTTGCATCCCCACGAAAATCCCACTTCTGGGTTTTCTTTCCCATTCACTTAATTCCCCCACCGAGCTCTCAGAGCTCCAATGGCGGCCGAGAACGCGCTGAAATCGAGGGAGGTCTCCGCCATGATCAAACAGGGCTTCATCTCCGATCAAACCCTCTCCTTCTCGCCGTCAAGATCCCTCTCCAAGCTCTATTCCCCCACCTCCTCGCCCTCCAAGCCCCTCTCCTCCCCTCCTTCTCCCCAACCGCCGCCGCCCCAACTCGCCGGGTCAAATCAGTCTCTGACTCGACCGACCCCGTCCCAAACCCTCTACGAGATGATGTCCGACGACCAGAATCGGGACTCTAAGCTCCTCCCGGACCGGAAAATCCATGAGAAAGTCCACAGGCTTCTCCAAGACGCGCCGTTTCGGAACCCCAATTGGGGAGGGCTGGTGTCCGGCGACGTCAGGCTGACGGTGGTGGCCAAGGACGGGTTCAGGATCTCGATGGACGTGCACAAGAGCGTGCTGGCGGCGAAAAGCCGGTTCTTTGCCGAAAAGCTCCGAAAAGAACGGGGGGTTTCGCACTGCGTGGAGATTTCGGACTGCGATGACGTGGAGGTGTATGTGGAGGCTGTGGTGCTCATGTACTCTGATGATCTGAAGGGGAGGTTGATGGGTGAGGAGGTCTCTAGGGTTTTGGGTTTGCTAAAGGTATGTGCTTTTGGCTTTTGGCTTTTGCTTTTAGCATTTTCTCTGTTTTGTTTCTCTCTGTCTTATGCTCTGTTTGGTTGGTGAGAAAATTTTGGATTAGGACATATGAGTTTTGGAAATCTGTGCACTTTTGGGATGGTCAATAGAGGTTGTTGATGTACTGTTAAAGTTACTAAAATAGGCGCAAATAAAAACTTATCGAATTTAGGAATCCTAATTCTTGTATTGTACACGTCTTTGATGTATCGTTAATTTTTTTTTTTAAATTCAAGAAATCCCATTTGACATTTGCAATTTCTTGTGCAAAGCTGCATTTTTGTTGTCCTAGTTGTTTATCTTTTAAAATCAACAGCCCGAATCTGTATTTTCTTAAATCTATATGAAAAATTGAATAAAAGAATCGAATATTCGGTATCTAGGAGTCACGGTCTCTGTATTTGTTTATCGAGTTTGTGACGATGAATATTTGTGAAATTTTTTGTTTTGTTGCAGGTATCTGCTGCTATAATGTATGATGAGGGGATTGCCTCATGCTTGGAGTATTTGGAAGCTGTTCCGTGGTCCGAGGAAGAAGAGGAGAAAGTTGTATCGCAACTCGGTGAGCTCCAGCTTCATGAAGACTTATCCAGTGAAGTTCTGCTCAGAGTTTCGTCTGAATTGTCCACTTCTGCAAGAGCTGATGGCATTTTCATGAGACTGCTGACCGGCGTTCTTCAAGCGAAAGATGATAGAGCTCGGAGGGAAATGAAGGCTCTCATTTCTCGGTTGCTCAGAGAGGATGCAGGCAGTGACAGCAATAGGATTGATGTATCTAAAGAAACCCTTTACCATCTTTGCCACAGATGTCTGAGTTCTCTTGTCCTGTGCTTATCTGAAGCTACATCTGCGGATGACGGCAGGCGGGACCGTGGGGTTTTGATGGCAGAGATAGCGAGAGAGGCTGATAACATGCAGTGGATCGTTGGTATTCTGGTGGACAAGAAAATGGGCGAGGAGTTTGTCAAGTTATGGGCAGATCAGAAGGAGCTTGTGGACCTGCATTCGAAGATTCCAACCATGTACAGGCACGAAATCAGCAGGATCACTGCTCAGCTATGCGTTGCAATTGGGAGCAGGAATTTGCTTGTGCCAAAAGAAACAAGATTCTTGTTGCTATCGACATGGCTGGAAGCTCTGTATGAAGATTTCGGATGGATGAGGAGGGCTTCTTCAAGATCTATTGATAAGAAACTGGTTGAAGAGGGAATAAGCCAGACAATTCTCACACTGCCATTGCAGCAGCAGCAGACAATTTTGCTTAATTGGTTCGATCGGTTTCTAAACAAGGGAGACGACTGCCCCAACATTCAGAAGGCATTCGAGGTTTGGTGGAGAAGAGCTTTTATCAGACACGTATCGGAGCAGGAAAATACTCAGTTGCAAATAACTGTTTGTGACTATCCAAGCTGAATAAAATCTACATACAATGTACACGTACATAAAAGCAATACTTTTGTATTCCGTACCAGTTTTTATCGCATAGTTTTTGTTGGCGCTCACGAGCGAAAACTACACAACTCTAAGGCACTGTGACCTACAAATGTCTGAAATGGAAACATTTTTTTACGGTTTCTGAACATTCTTTCTCTGAGCAGCTAGAATTTACAGAGAGATGTCAATTTTGAAGATCAATGCTATGAAAATGTTACATACAAATTATACCGGTACCCATCTCTCGTAGGCAAAGTTCAAGCCGGAAATGAATCAGACGAGTTTACACAAATGACTCGAGATCCGGCTGCTACATGTTGCAATGTATACGAGCTTCCCAGTTAAACGATTTCCGGTCAATTCTCAAGTAACTGAGGTGAAAGACGGGAGCCATCAAGACATGACAGTAGCGCCACCAAAATGATAGAAGCATCGAGGCTGCGTGACACAGTTCGGGAGAAATGTGATGCTTTACAAACCATTTTTCTTCAAATCACGTAAGAATCGGTTGTGGCCCATAATCGAGTTGCACATCTGAACGCGGTAGCCCCATATCTGAAGAAACACTGCTCATGGAAAAATACATTCAGTTAGAGTGAGAGCGCGCGCTCAGAAAGGTGGTGGTGCTGCCAACGGTGGAGCCTTCATCGGAGGTGGCGCAGAAGCATCTGCAGTTTGAGTGAGAGCGCGCGCTCAGAAAGGTTTTTAGTTGGGTTTTAGGCTGTTTAAATGGCAGCACATGCTTCTGCGACCGGTTCGAACCGCTCAAACCGGTTGCAATGTTAAAAACTGTTGAACCAAAACTCATACGCCCGGTTTTTGTTTGGTTTATAAATATTCTTTTGTTTATTTATTTTTTTTAAGCTTATTTATTGATTTAACTTCGAAACTTTCATTTAATCTCACTTTATTCTATGAAACTGAAATTATCTCACTCTACTTTCTGAAATTTACATAATTGAGCTATTTCACCTTATTTACATTCATGTTGACATAAATTTGATAGTTTTGTTTAAGAGTACTTTTAGACCATCTTTGTGACGACCCGTCCTTACTTTTCACTATAAGTTCCTTTCCATTGGTGTGAACTAACGATTTTACCCATTTTTGGACAAAAGTGAAATCTGACGTAGACATGGTTTTCGGCTTTCAGTTTCATTTTCTTGGTTTTGTATTAAATTAGTACCCGTCGCTACGAACGTGTGAGCGCGTGTTAGACTTGAATCGGATATGTAATGAGAAAGTTATGCTCCGTTAAAGTATGTTAACTACGTGTATTTTTGTATACGTACGTGCAAATTTACAGTATCAAAACACTGTCAAGAGGATAGATTTTGTATAATTAAAATTGTACAAATCCATCTAATCCCTAAAAGGGATCCGGTCCCCTTCTTTCATACCCGTCAACCATAAAACTTTTGCTTTTTCCTTCTTTTCCTCTCCACCACTCACATCATTTCCTTCCTTATGGCACCCAATCACTCTTGTTCCCTCAATTTGGCATCCAATCAATGACATTCACACTCACAATAGCCACCAATAAAAAACTCAGCCTTTTCTATTTCTCCCATGAAGGTCTCTCTTTCACTCTCTCTCTGCAACAAAGAAGAACCACCCTCAAAAGTCACAAGCGAGACCTGCAACCTACACCATTGAATCCTCCTCGACCCCACGAACACAACCATGCAACCATATTCGAGAACGAACGAGTTTTGACTCACCAACTCGAAAGGTCCGACTCGGTGAGTTTTGGTTCAACGATTTTCAGGCCGTTCACGGCTTAGGTAAGCCTCGGGAAATCCTAAGAACCTTCATTTCATCCCTATGGGTTGATATTGACCTCGTGTTCATGTTTTGAATGAACGTTTTAGCACATAAAGCTCGAGGGGGGAAAGACTGCTCAGTTTTCCAACAAAGGAGCCGTGACCATTTGGTCACTTTCAACTATTTTTTTCCGACTAACCTCGACCACGACTGGACTCCTAATAGGTATAGACTTGTTCTCTATATTAAAATGACTTTTGAATCATTGAGTTTGATTAACTATCGAGTTAGGGATCAACTCTAAAAGTTGGGAAGAAATTCCCAAATTTTTGGAAAAGTTTGACCATGGCCATTTGGCCACTTTCAGGCCAAATTCTTGGACAGCACGGACCACATTTGAACTTTCTGTGAATATAGATCGATTTATTACATTCCTAGGTACAAATTGGTTTTTGTAGAATTGAATTTGATTGAGAATCGAGCTCGTTAGAAGCTTTAGAAGTTTGACCTTCAACCTGCAAAACGCAGGAGCTCATGAGAAAGGCGAGTACAGCCGTACTCGCAGGCGCGTGGGCGCATGTGACTGCCAATGCAGCCAGTTGTGGTGGTGCATGGCGGTGCGTCCGGCCTCCGTTTGACCTTCTGTCTATTTGTGTAGGTCCGTGATGTCGAGTAGATCGATTTCATGTATTCAAACCCTATGTTTGAGCAATCTACGGAGGTTTTATTTAAGTTTCCGTGTATGTGTTATTAAACTAAGTTAATAAGTAATTTCACATATAGGGGAAACATATCCCGATGACGTAAGAGGTCAAGCAAGGCTAGGAGGCTTCGTTTCGACTGCGTATATGTGAGTGGGCAGTTTATTTTATATCTATAAGTATTTATAGTTTCCAGAATTGCATAAATATATCACTTTACGTATATATTGCCAAATAATTGATAATTGCGATATAATTGTGATAAATGCTGCTATATGGTTGAGATATTACTGTCATAACATTCATACATATTTGTACATGCTCATCTTGCTGCACCAGTGTTAGTATTCGCCCCAGGGCTAGGGCTAGTCCTTCACGTGTATGTTCACATCACACCGTTCGCTTGCCTTGGATCCAAGGTAGGTGCCAGTCCTGTCGGGTAGATTGCATTAGGCAATCCGACTTGTATGTGATCATGCTTCTACACCAACCTTCACGTGATCGTAATACTAGAGCATATTGATTACACCTAGTCCTGTTCGTGTCAGAAATTATCTGTTCGAACTCGTGTGTCAGCTTAGATGGATGAGCACTTAGCTATACTTGATTATCACATGATTTTATTACTGTGGCATTTATATATCATGACTTGGCATATTTCTGGTTATAATACTGTTGTATTATTGTTTACATACTTACATAGTATGTTTTAAGGAAAATATACTTGTTTTATGGCGAGGGGTTAGTATATTCGAAAATAAAGGTTTTTACAAAATGTTGTTTTGCTAACCCACTCAACTTTGTTTTTCGCCCTTCCAGATTTAGTAACTGTGCTTACGTATTTACAAGGATTCTGGCAAATCTCAGGAGATGGTTAACTTCAGTGGTATAACCCTCATCCTATTCATTATACTGTCTTATGCTCTAACATCACGTGTGAAAAGGGTTCAATCCCACTCACCCACGCACTCCTTTGTTTAGACACTTTTAGATTTAAATTTATTCATATTCTTTTTTTCCACTACACTACACTTTATGGCTTCGTCCTCCTCCAGGTATTGGCCAACACAACTCGATTCAGAGTCCAATGGAACTTTCCGGGTCGGGGTGTGTCAATCTTTAACCCTTGGAGTAAAACCTAAAATTTTTACCCCATAAAATTTAGGTTTTAACGCAAAAATAATTTTTCTGCTCCAACCTTTTTGGCCTAAAATTTTAGCCCTAGATTATTAAAAAATAAATTTAGGATTTTTTTAATTAACTTAAAAAAAATTATGTAGACTATCCTAAATTAATTTTATGAACATTTTAACCTAAAAATATTTTAAATTCCGATAAATATTGAAAAACCACTAAACCTACACTATGAAACTCATTAGACACTATGAAAGAATATGAAATGCATGAAAGAATATGAAACACATGATACAAATGTTTTGTAAGATGGTAGAGAGAAAAATTGGAAGAATTGTAGGAGAAAAGTGAATTTTGTGTGGATGTTTGAACCCAAAATCAAATTTTAGGATAGTTGTAGTGAACTGAGGTGAGTATAGAAGCCAAAATTTGAGACTTGCTCCAAGCGTTAGAGTTGGTCTTAGAAAAAATGTATTTTGAATAAGTTCTCGACAAAATACTAAAATAAAATGAAACAAATATACTATCTGTTTGGAAAAATTACACATAGAGTATAATTTAATATTTAATTTTATATTGAGACAACACTTTTTAAACATTTCAAGGATAGACAAAAGTTAATACAATGTAGAAGACGACATCATTAGCTTTTTTTCTCTGAATCGTGAGTTACGAAAATACCTTCTCAGACTATATCGCAAAACAGTGACGGCTGCCACCTGGGATTCATGATACAGAGATCATAAAGAGGACATTCTTGCCAAATGGTGTAACATCCCACATCGTCTAGGGGAGTGGATCCTCTATGCTTTATATGTACATGCCCATCTTTTCCTAACATGAGGTCTTTTGGGAACTCACTGGCTTCAGGTTCTATCGGAACTCCGAAGTTAAGTGAGTTCGCGCGAAAGCAATCCCAGGACGGGTGACCCACTAGGAAGTTCTCCTGTGAGTTGCCAGATCAAAACTGTGAGGGCGTGGTAGGGCCCAAAGCAGATAATATCATGCTACGGCAAAGTCGAGCCTGGGATGTGGTGGGGCTCGGGCCTGGATGTGACAAATGGCTTGAAGCCAAATAATTCCATCAACCGTTCTTACTCAATCTCATCTTTGGGAATTAACTCTTCTACAACAAATGGAAATCACGGCCCACTCATTCACCCAAGGATCCATTTGGAACGAATGAAACAAATGTGCAGTAGAGTCGGAGCTTCTGACCTCCAATGGGATGATAAAATCCCCAGATAAACTACCTAATAGTGGTGGATCATTTTGGAAGGACAATAACAGTGTGTCTGAAAATTTTGATGGTAAGGAATGCTGGCTATTTCAAGATGGCGATAATGGTGTGAGATCTAAGAATTTTCCATCGCCTGCTAATGATAATACAGTTGAGACAGAATGGATTGAACAATATGACCCGAGTGTTTATATAACTTTTGTGGCTCCGCGGGATATAACTAAAGATCTCAAACGAGCGCATTTCAGGGCCTCTTGGTTCTATTGGTTTCTTAATAAATTAATTTGTGAGCTGGCAGCCCAATGATCTATTGATCACATTGGCCGTAACATGCCACATATGTTGATCATTTGCCAGCTGGTAGCCCAAGTCTATTGCCTATTGATCTCACTCTCTCACACATATTTTTGTGGTGATAATTTCTGGAATCATTTGCTTATAAGTTATTGTCTAATGTTTGGCAAGTTACTTATCTTTTTCGTAGTTTTGAATTAATTCTCGTGTATACTTGTTGCATGTCACAGCCCGTCCCGGAGATGTACGTTAATTATGTTATCGATGGTGTGAAATTACCTAAATATCCTAGGATGTTGAGAATTATTATGGGATGTGGTGGTTTAAACTTAAGATTTTGGACCAATTAATTATATTCCTCTTTTATTGGATCCAATCAGAGCTAAGTGTCCTCTTAGTTGTGATTGGTGTGCATTTTGGGACCACACACACATCCCTACCCTTTCTGTTTTCTCTCCCGTACTCTTTCTCTCTTGGTTTCACTATCTTTCTCCTTGCTACGTACGGACAAGGGGAAGAACACCCCAAAACTTCACAGATCAAGGAAGAAAATGGTACCATTGTGTTCATGAGGACCCTATGAGTTCAAAGGTATCAATTTCAGGTAAGGAAACCTTCGATTTCACGTGGAAACCCTAGCCCCGATTTTGGTCACTATTCATGTGGACGTAAATATGTTGGTTTCAGGGAATTTCAAGCTCATAGAGAGCTTTAGGAGGTCCTAAGGAGGCTCGGGGTGGTTTGTTGGATAAATTTGGACGTCGGGATAGCTAGTTTTGAAGTTGACCGGATTATCGAGCTTCCTCAGGTAAATTCTAGTGGATTTCAAGGCTTAAAAATAGTATAACGTGATTCTACATGTTGTTAGCTTTCCAATGGTTCAAATTTCATGAAAAATGGTGCATAATGAAGAAGTTAGGACAATTTTAATATTTTCCAGAAACCTGCGAAGTCACTGGTGACCGGCGACTCGCCGGAGAAGACAGGGGAATCTTCCGTCAATTTTGACGGAATATTCTAACGCCGTCAGTTAGTTTGGACGGTTACCGTTGAGTTTTAATAGAATATTCCGAGGAATATTCCTAACGCCATTCCTGTTCCGTTACATGTGCCTGGCACATGGCCGCGCGTGGGGGGCGCGTTTTGCCGTGCCCTTAGCAGCGCATGGCTGCACGTGGGAGCTTAAAAAATTTATCTAAAAATTTGGGGATGATCATGAGGTTGTGTAGGTCACTGTGGTGTATTCATATACCCATTTTGAGCAATGTATGAGAAGTTATTAGCTAGTTTTTCCTATGAGCTTTAAAATAACGTTTTTATAGTTAATTCGCATATAGGTGAGACTTATCTCGAGGACGAACGTATCCAAGGGCGACTCGGGGGTTACGACCCGTCGACATACCAGTGAGTGGGCTTTTGTTTTCAGTATATATTTATATACTTGATATATTTCCCAGAAATGCATTTTTAAGGAAAGTATGCTTTGAAATAATATGCCAAATGCTTTTATATTCTGAATATGCATTTCATGGTTGCATATATATATAAATGTGGTGCTGTGGAGGCACATGTAAGTTCAGGTAAGTTATGTTTGGTTATGTGAATCATCGATGATATGACATGTGATTGAATAATTTTGAGCTCATAAAATTGCACCTAGGGTGATTGTGATTTAGCCAGAGATATGAAGTACAAGCCTTTTTATTTATGTCACCTTCCGCATTATATGCTCATATTGGATCCAACTTAAGTGCACAGTCTTGTCGTATAGACCTTATTTATGATTCTGACTCGTACGTGACTAGCGATTTATTGCCCGGCTATTATGAGAGAGTAAAATTGAGCATAATTATTGTTTATACCATATTTAGGGCCTCGTATTTAGATCTCGTACAAATACTCGGGGGACTTAAATGTAATTATGGGATAAAGGAAGGGGCAAATATGTAATAAGTGAGGAGTCCTTATTCTATAAAAGGACCCCTCACCCTCACAATTGAGGAGGGCTCATTCTCACCCTCAGAGGCCATTTCTGAAGCCTCTCACCCCCTCTCAAAGCTCCTCACATCCCCCAAGCTCTCTCTCCCTCTTCAACAGAGAAATATAATACAATCAGTGTGGACGTAGCCCAAACCTTGGGGTGAACCACGATAACTCTTGTGTTATTTACATTACTTGCAGATTCACGGTCGGATTTACGTTGTACCAAGACCATCCGGTTTTGTGCATCAACATTTGGCGCCGTCTGTGGGAAACGACACGAAAAGTTATGTCGGTTCTCTCTCGATTCTTCACATCCACCGTGAATCTGCATAAACACCAAACCAAAATCTCAGATCTCTCTCTCTAGAAACCCAGAAATGGGGCCAGCGAAAAAGCCCAACTGAGAAATAAGGAGCCATTCTTAATCTCGCCAGCCCGAACTCACAACTTACAGCTCCATGCTTCAGAAAAATGAAGGTCCCCTGCTACCCTTCCGCGAATTCTCAGTCTGAAATCACAACTTGCAACTTTCAGTCTTCCATCTCTCAGGCTGGCGATTATCGACAAATTTCGCCAAACCCGCCAGCCATGTCTACCACTACCACAGCAACAGCTGGTTCCACGAATGCGCCAAGTGGTATGATCTCAACCGTCGCTTTCATTGTCTCCTCCATAGACAGCGGAAGACAACGCGGTTTGTGCCCAATCATCACAAGCCGTATGATCAAATCCCCCGACTCTTCTCGGCCCTCTAGAAGTTCGGCAAACCTGCACAGACCACCCCACCGTCTCAACCCGAACCCAAATGCGAGCCCAAACCCGCAACTGGCAAACCCTTCAATCGACTCCTTGTTCGATCAGGCCACTCTGATCTGCAAGAGCATCGCGAGGAAGGTGTTCCTGCACGAATCATATCAGGAATACAATTTCTGTACGAAACTATGCCACATCAATTCGAAACCATGAGTTTTGCTGCAACCACCAAACTCCTCTTCAAAGTCCTCTGCTATGGCAATTATATCATTGTGGTCGGAGGTGGAGGGCCAAAGGTTCGACTCGGCAACCACAAAACTGACAGATCCCGACTCCCTATCCCTCAAACTCTGCAAACAGACCAATCCCGACGCCCCCTGCCTCTCCGAGCTCGTCCACCACTTCCTCCAAGACGACGAGTCGTCCGCCGCTGGTTTTCCCGATAACGAGTCTGACTCGGACCAAGTCGACTCGGCCTCCGACGCGGACGCAATCAACTCCATCCTTAGGTCCGTGGCATCTTCTGAAGCGTAAGATTAGAGAACAAGGATGTGATCGACTCTATCCTTAGGTCCGTGGCACCTTCACGTTCGGGAAGAAGGACACGTCGACGGATCTGTACTCGATCTTTTCAGTCAAACAGAACAAGATTAGGAGCCATGCAATCGGGAATCAGGAAGTTGCTAGTGGAATCGATGACGGACTTCGTTTCGAACATGGTGGACAAGTCAGCGTACGCGCTGAGCGTCCCCGTATCGGTATTGGAGGCCTGCACGGCGTTGGTAGAGGAAGGCAGAATTCCGGAGCAGGTGGAGATCATAGAGGCGGGGTCGCAGCGGCAGAAGGAGATATCAGTTGCGATATATTGTTGCAGATTTGTGAGAATAGTGCTCCCAAAATTTACTGGCACGTAACCTTCGATTTTGTTAAAACCCAAATCAAGGGCGACGAGCTCTCCACCGCCATTGCGCTCCGGGATCTCGACACCTGTCAGGTTGTTATTCACCAAGTCAACTTGCTGGATAGACGGGAGGAGAAAGAACTAGAGCATCTGAAGTCTGAACTCTCTCTCTCCCTCCGCTGTCAACTCTCTTAGTCTCGCAGTCAACTCGGACAAGGGAAACAGCTAAGAAGCTTGTGGGCATTTCATTGCATCCATAACTAGCAAGAATGATGATGTTGAAAATAGAGCAAGCTTGTGCGAATACTATTGTTTTATGCGCTGGATCCCATTGTTTTTTATGAAGGAGAGAAACCGCCTGGTAGAGAGATTCTAGAAACATCTGCAAGAAATCTCCTTCTCAGTGATGGGACTAAAGTTGCTGTCAAGAACAAAGAAGGAGTGGAGACAGCGCAGGAGCCAGCATTTACACACCACTTGGCCTTACGGATCAAGGACAGAGAATGAGTGGAGAGATAAAGAATAGCAAATGGTCATTGAGGTGGGGTTTCTGAAGACAAAGAAATGGAGTGGGAGGCCACGTTCTTTACGTTATTTACATTTTTTACAGCTGGAGTACACCATCTTGTGTTCAAACAGTAGAAACCAGGCTGAAAGAGAAAGGCAGTGGCGGACAAAGCAAAAGGAAAAGAGAAAGAAAAAAAAAAAAAAAAAAAAAAAAAAAAAAAAAAAAAAAAAAAAAAAACGGCAAAGCCCAAAACAAATGGGCTAGCATGTTGTGGAGGGCGAAAGCCTATAAGCTCAAAATAGCTCCAACCAGACGATCAAAAGTACGCCTACTACTCCAAATTATACATGAGGATTACTCAAGTCATTCATACATAAACATTCATGAGCATCACTCGTGATAATCATACATAAACATTCATAACCATCATTCATGTCAACATTCATGAGCATCACTCATGTTAACATTCATGAACATCACTCATGACAACATCCATGAGCATCACTCATGTCAATCAACATAAACATTCATGAGCATCACTCATGTCAATCAGCTTCAAAAGCTTCATTTACAGAGCTCTAGCTTCAACAACTTCATTTAAAAAAGCTCCAGTTTCGAAAGCTTCATTTACAGAGCTCTAGCTTCAAAGCTTCACTTGCAAAGCTTTACCTACAAAGCTTCAGTGCAGGGTATACAAATACCGCCTCCGAACAACCACCACTTCGGCCCATACATGGATTCAATTTGAAGTCTCCAGCCAACAGACTCTATTGACCGAAGACTTGGGGGACTACATTATGTACCATATATTGGGCCTCAACTGGGCCTCATAAAAAATACTTGGGAGACTCTAGCCGACTTATGTATTGAGGAGCGAGCCCTTATTCTATAAAAGGGACTCCTTCACTTTTAGAGAGCACTCATGAAAAATACTTGGGGGACTCTAGCCCATCACTTATGTATTGAGGAGTGAGCCCTTATTCTATAAAAGGGACTCCCTCACCTTCATTAGAGAGAAACGCCGCCAGCTGAGCAACCGCCTCGCCGCGAGCATCAACTCTAGCCCATCATTTATGTATTGAGGAACGAGCCCTTATTCTATAAAAGGGACTCCCTCACCTTCAAACGCCACAAGCCAAGCCAACCAAGGCAACATAAGCTACAAGCAAAGCGGCCTCACAACATGTGCTACTTCTAGTTGAGCATCATTTCAGATTGGGCACCGCCTCATATCAAGCACCAGTTCAAGACGACATCTAGTTACTTCGGCCCACACATGGACTGAATTTCAAGTCTCCAGCCAAAAGACTCTCTTGACTGAAGACTTGGGGGACTACTGTTTATACCATATTTAGGGCCTCGTATTTAGATCTCGTACAAATACTCGGGGGACTTAAATGTAATTATGGGATAAAGGAAGGGGCAAATATGTAATAAGTGAGGAGTCCTTATTCTATAAAAGGACCCCTCACCCTCACAATTGAGGAGGGCTCATTCTCACCCTCAGAGGCCATTTCTGAAGCCTCTCACCCCCTCTCAAAGCTCCTTACATCCCCCAAGCTCTCTCTCCCTCTTCAACAGAGAAATATAATACAATCAGTGTGGACGTAGCCCAAACCTTGGGGTGAACCACGATAACTCTTGTGTTATTTACATTACTTGCAGATTCACGGTCGGATTTACGTTGTACCAAGACCATCCGGTTTTGTGCATCAACAATTATATTACATCCAATCTTGTCGTACAGACCCATTTTTAGTGGTTCTGACTTATGTGCAGTATATTGCCATATAGGTAATTGTAGCGACTCCGGCTAGATTGACTTTTGAGCTATGAATTCAGCCATACAGACTACCACAGGGGTTCCGGCTAACATATCATATTTCTACGAATTTATTCTTACCTGAATTGCTTACTCTATTATATCTTGGCATGACATACATTTGAATATGATTATGTGAAGCATGAATTGAATTGATATGATCATATATATATATATATATATATATATATATATTATGTATATGCTTATATCTTGGTTTTGGGAAAAATTATACATGTTTTACAGCGAGGGGTTAGTATATTGATAAATGAAATGGTTTTGTAAAGCATTTTTTTTTGCCCACTCACGTTTTCTATTTTGCGCCCTTCTAGGTTTTAAGTAAGCTTGCTGTTGGTGGCTTAAGGACGTCGGCAGTTCTGACTTATCTAAATAATAGTAGGACATTCCTGGTATTGTATAACTAGTACTTGTCCTATTGGACTGCATCTAGACTTTTATGCTCTGAATAAGAGTGTATACTGTTGTAACTAACTCCTATCACTCCTTGTTTAGTAGTGCACTCTAGTAATTTAGTTTTTATTTATTTGTATATTTCTTATCATTATCGCTTCCGCACTGTACACATGGCTACGTCACTCTTACGTAACGGGCAACATGCCTTGATCTCGGTCGGGGTGTGTCATTGCCTTTATGTTTCGATTAGATTGATTCTGTTTGTAGCTTCTGATGTAGTATTAAACCCATTTGCCTTCATATTTTCAAATATAGTATTAAATTTTGATTTGTATATAATGTGTTAATTTTGGAATAACATGTATAATATTGTTTGCGAGATTGTGTAATGTGTGGTTGCGCCTCCAGTCAATTTGTGAAGAATTGTTCTTCCCTTAGCTAGGAAAATCTATAAAAAAAAATTAATGGAAAAGCCAAGTCGATTGACTCAGGCTAGGAAAATCTAGAAAAATAATGATCAAAGACGAGTTGAACTGATTCTGCAAAAAAAAAAGTCGAGGACGGGTTGAACTGATTCTGCAAAAATGATCGAGAATTGATTGAACTAATTCTGCAAAAATGATCGAGAACTGATTGAACTGATTTTGCAAAATAGTTAAGGACGGGTTGAACTAATTTTGCAGAAATAGTCGATGATGAGTTGAGTTTATGACACATTAATTTTGTAGGAGTTGTGAGGATTGAGTTATATTAATAGCCCTAAAGCCTTAGGGGTATTGCTAGTATTTTAAAACATTGTTTCCATGTTTCTGGGCTGTGCTTTAGTTGTTTTTATGCTTTTTTTGATCTCTTATTGAAATGTTTAAAGATTAGTAGAGTTCCTTGAATATATTAATTTTTTTTATCTCTTTATATAAAGCTCTCTATCTATTTTATGTCAAGTAATACGTGGAGTAACTCCTGATATAACAGTAAAAACAAAAGTAGTATGCGGAATTCTTGTAAAAAACTTGAAGTGATTTTTTTTTAGTGACCCGATAACGTTAGCAAGTTAAATGTTAAATTAACCACCGATGATATTCGAACCTACGCTGTCATGCAAGGGCACAGTGACCTTTCCCAAGGTCACTTGCTAACTTGTAGTGATTAATATATGCATTTCAAATTTTTCACGGCCAATCAATAAATAAACGTGTTTTATTTAAACCATGCGTCCCTAAATTGAAAACCCTAGATGAAACCACGTCCCCTTTCTCCCTAAAACCCTAGAAATCCTAACCATGAAAACGGTCTCAGGGGTCGTCGTCTCGTCGAAGCCAATCTCTCTCTCCAAAGCGACCTCCACTCTGTCCTCCTTCGTCACCAGCGACACCGGCGCGTCGCAAGAGTTCAGCGTCTACCTCCGACGCACCTTGACATCGTTCAAGGAGCTGAAGCAGCTGCACAAGGAGCTCAAATCGCCGAGGTCGGAACGGAAGCGATCGCGGCGGCACAGGTCGGAGGCCGAAAACGACGACGCAGAGACCGTCGGAGAGAATCCAGCGCAGAGTGCCGGTGTGAGTGAAGTGAGTCATGGGCTAGAGTTCAAGCCGAAAACGCAGAGACAGGTAGTGGATGCCGAGGGGAAGAAGAAGGAGAGGAAGAAGGGTGAAGTTCCTAATTTTGGGGAAGATGGAGGTGGAATTGCAGAGAGGGGAGGGGACGGTGGTGAAAAGAAAGAGGCATCTGATTCAGTAGAGGTGCCTAGGAAGAAGAAGAAGAAGAGGGACAATGATGGTAATTCTAATGAAAATGGGGGGCGAATTGACAAGGGAGATGGTGGGGTTAAAATTGCAGAGAGGGCAAATGGGGGTGTTGAAAGTAGAGAGCCGGCTGATTCAGTTGATACACAAAATAAGAAGAAGAAAAAGAGGGACAATGTTAGCAATTCCGGTGAAAATAGGGGTAAAATTAAGAAGGAAGATAGTAAGAAGAGGAAGAGTGGGGTATTAGAAGATGGAGGTTCTGATGCTTCGGAAGAACAAGGGGATAAGAAAAAGAAGAGGAGGAAAAGTTGAGAAGACAATGACACAATTGTTCATTGCTGTCGGTTTTGAGTTTTCTGGGATTCGGTGGAGATTTCAATTCCATGAGGGCTGCTCTGCACGTTCAGGGTAATTTTGTGGGGATACTGTTTTCTATGTAATGCTAATTACTAATGCCAGGTGATATTATTGATTGCAATGAAAACTTTGATAATGCCCTATCGATTTTGATTCTTAATACGAATGTTATTTCAGTTTGTGTTTTCTCGGTTTTGTATGTCAAGTGTTATGATTATTTCAAAGAACACTGATTCTATCACTTGCAATTTTGTAGATGGCTAATGAAATACTGGCCTACGAAAGGAAAAAAAAAAAAAAAAAAGGCCTAGAAAGCGCCGTTGGATGATGTGTAATCAATTGAGAAAACTGTGGTTACTCATATTTCCAAGAAATTAAGGATGCTTCTTTCACTTGTTGGGGATTCCATACATTACATTCTTTGCATAAATACACGTTTTCCGTTTACGTTCTTTTATCCCTGTTCTTTTTTTCTTTGATGGGTATTTGGTATTTCCTTTGCTCTTGTATATAATGATCCAAGGCCCTGTATATGCATAAGGTTCTCCACCAGCATATTCTAATTTTGGGCATCTTTTTTTGTTCTTCTTGGATCAGTTCATTTACAATAGTCTGTCAACTTGTTTCCTCAAGGCTTATACCTTTTTGAAGTTTGAACAGAATAACGCATAAACCTATCAGATACCGTGGTAACCAGTTATATAAGAGCACTACCAGGTATGATATCTCTGTATCAACTTTTCCGTGTTCGTGTTTCCTCTTATTTAACAATATTGTCTCCACCATCTTGCTTTCTCCTTTGTCAATTGTTCTTCCTATTTGCCTTAATATATCCATGTCTATTCATGTAATTGAAAACAAAAAAGAAGGGTACACAGTACCAGTTCAACACTAAATACTGCAGAAATTATAGAATCTTTACTCCTCTGTAATGATTCTTTCGATGTGTATGTATTTTTCGTATACCATGTATATTTGAATTCCCTCTGAAAGTGCAGTCCCACATTAGATGGTTCGTGTGTTCGTCATACGCTCCACAGAGAACATATACCATATCCGTTTTGAATCTTCTTTCTATGGAGATTGATACATGTCGGGATGATATCCAATCCAATCCTCCAAACCCCAATCTAAACCTTGGGAGGCACCCTAGCAGCCCATGGTTTCTTCCAAACCTCACCGGAAGAATTAGCAGAGGAGGATGAAGCAGCCTCCCTTCGAGATTGAATCCAGTCCCGAGCGACATGATACGCACTCTTGACTGAGAAGATACCTTTCCTGTCATAATGCCATATGAGTTTGTCATTCGGCAAGCCGAAGCTCGGAAAGGGACAGAATGCTTTGAACCTCCACATCCGGGAAGAGATGGCTCAGGAGAGGAATGTTCCGATTCTTAGACTCATCAATAAGGTATTCTACAAGAACTAAGTCACAGTGGGTCGGTTTCGGGGAAAAAATATGGGACCGAGAGGGAATTGGGAGCCATCTATCTTCCCAAATTCTCACTTCATCTCCCCTTAATAAAGAGGGATTAAGGGAAAGAAAAACTTTGGTAGGAGGAAACATTTGGCCACAAGCCGGTTCAAATCGTCGCAAAAAAACTTTGGTAGGAGGAAACATTCATAGTATAGAGAGGGATTGACTGGGCAACAACCATAATAAAGAGGGACTCTTTATTTTCTTCTTTCCAGTTAGGAATAAAATAACAACAAATACAACAAGGGAAAGAAAAAAAATAAAGATCAAATTACACTAGATAGAAAGGCTTGTGATTGCTTCTCGTAACGAAAATGATCCTTCCTGGAGTCATCTGCAGACCAAACGAAAATGCCATGAAGTTTGCCCTCGCGTTTAAGCCTAGTACAAGCCGCAAAGAACCCGTGTTCAGGAGACAAACCCCCGCTGTTATCTGTTCCAAAGCTCACTAGAATCTTGCCACCCTTGTAATTTGAGCTCTGCATCTCAAAATATTTCAAAAACTGAGTTATAGTCGTGCCCTTGTCGTAGGCATAGAACTGAAAGTTAACATAGTCAATGAGATGCCCGTACTTCCCCCACAATGCCAAGTAATTTGGCTGCACCGAGTCATCATCATATGGTGCTATTGATGTGAAGGACACAATATTGTTTTGTTTAAGGGAGAACAACAGTCGCCCAATGCATTCGGCAAATGTATTGGGATCTGTCTGGAAGTGTTCGTAGTCAATATCAATTCCATCCAAATGATATTTTCTGATTATCTGAGTTAGTGAGTAGACAGCATTTCTAACCCAAGAATTGATTGATTTAGGATTGAAGGACACATTTTTGTTGCCAACGGTATCACCTCCAAGACTCAGAGCTACTTTAGCATTTGGATGAAGGGCCTTAATGGCGGAAACATGGGCAGCGGTGAGGTTCTCTGTGTCCCAGAAGACATTAAAGTCTCCGTTGGTGGGAGAAGGATTATGAGATTGTGTTGTATAATCAATAGCAAAGGAGAGGATGAAGTGAAACTCAACATTGGAATCAACGGGTACTTCTGTGAAAGTGACACCTTTGTTCTCAGCTCCTATGTATTCTCTAAAGAGCTTTGGGTTTGCTGGGGCTGCTTTGATCATTGACGCTGCTGTGAAAAACATTTGAAGAAAAAGGAACGGTAGGAGCTTAAACGAAGTCATGGCTACAAGTGGAACTGTGAAAGTTTCCTACTTCTGGGGCCAATTGTGCTACCTCGTTTGGAGGTACTTATACAGGTGAGCCTCACATGGAATTACTTTTGTTTTGGTGCTGGTGTCTCATTCTTTTGAAGGATAATGTTACTGCTTCGCAAATTCATTTGATTCCCCATCAAGTATGTTGACAAGAATATATGATTTCTTGGCGGATGTCACGAACCAACAGATACATAATAGATATCATTTTTTGTTTATTAAGAATTCAACTTGTCTCATTTGGATACAAAGCGTTGAATTGATTAATTAAGTAATTAAGAACCTATGCAGAATGTCGTATTACAAACGTATCCTAGTCTTTGGATTCTTAGGTATATATTTGGTAAGGAATATAGTGAGACTGCTTATTGCATAGAGCTATCATCTATTTGACGTGAATGCATGTCTACTACCGATCGATTAGTTAATTGTAAGGCTCCATTAACATGAAACCCTTATGAAAGCTATTTCGACACAATTGCTTGTCTACTTCTGATCAATCATTTGCAGGGCTCCATTAACTGGAAAGTGGAAACCCTTATTAATCAATTATGTGAAACAATAAGTTCTACTTCATTTGCAGGGCTCCATTAACTTGACAAAATTAGTTTTTTTCTCATTAATCGTAGGTGTTATGATGTCAAATTGTTGATTAGGTGCTGGAATTTGAATATGCAGACGCAACATGCCATCCATTCAATCAGCGATCAGTCTTCTATCGTGACATGCTACTGCACACCTAGAAGAAAACCATGCTGTTCTTGTTTTCATTAGAGTGGAGTAACTTCCAGACACTTAAGCTAAAGATAGGATCCCGTCTTCTTGGGCGGCTATGTAACTTTCGGGTGTCTTTTTCCCTGCGGCTGCGTGCACAGGTATGCTTTATCTGGGATTGGTTGGTTTCTTCTGTATACTAGGAAATCTGAACTTTGTGCGACCGACACGCCTTAGCCGAACAATTCAATAACACTTCTTGTTTGTTACCAAAAGTGTGGATTTAAAATACTGCAGGCCAGTCCTTTTCTGTGTTTGTTTCTTATATTCCAAGAAATGAAAAAGAACAGCAAGAATCTGCTGGTAAATATTATTGAATATTGAGAGGCATTGTACATTAATAATATAATTAGAGTGTTTAAGTAATTGTCTCACTCTTTTGCTCCCTTCGGCTATTCTTAAGAAAAATGCAATCACACTCAAACAATTTAATTTGGGAAAGTAATTAAAATGCAAAAAGGTACCAAAGAATAAACAAATATTAATGGGTCACAAAATTATTCGGGCAAGTTACGGTCAGAAGAATGGGTTGAAAATATTCAGCATTTGGGAAGATCTGCGGGGGGAGGGAGCAGTTTTTGATTGGGAAGCTTGCCATCCAAGACTACCCAGCCCATCTTCAAGCCCCAGCTTGTGTGGATCTCCAGGTGGCAATGCATAAACCACACACCTGTGCGTTGACACACGATGCATCAACAATCATAATCAACAATAGGAAAATATGATTTATCTTTACGAGTTGTTATTGACTCATTCACCGTTACTAATCACATTAGTAACTATATCTTTGCCTTTACGTAAGTCTTACATCTATGACCATGAGAAAATTCTTGTTCCCAGATGCCCGATTAGGGCACCAAAGTGAACGGTGTAAAATCATAGAGCTTAGTTGATAGGACTGCCTTGTGGTCCAGAGTGTTGGACACAGGAAGTTCTCTTATAAGAGATATGTGATCATTAGTGTGATAGTATAGTTATTGATTTTAATAATTACTTTTTAGGTCAATTCAATGAGTTACCTGGGTTATCGGCAAGAAAACGGATAGCAACCCACCCACCAGAGGGCACACCCACAGTGTTCCTCTCAACAGGGTCAACCAGGTTGAACATTTTAGGGTCCTTATTCCGGTCAAAGTTCCCAAACCCTTGACCCACAACAAAGAAATTGAACCCATGAAGGTGCAGAGGATGGCTCTCAGCACCAAGAATGCTAGTGTCCTGCATCACCAGCTCCACCCTAGAATTAAATGGCAGCACTACCAGCTTTGTCCCATTGCTCACCATAGTATCATTTGGTGGGGTCCCTGTATAGTTGAATGGGACTATGGGATTGGCTGGGAAGTCAGGACTGTAGACCCCACTTGATTGGCCAGAAAAGTGGGATTGGAGTAAGGCAGTGTTTGGCATTGCAAAAGAAATGTTGTTAATTGAGGCTGCAAACATTGTCCCATTGGGTCCTTGGCATGTTTGGTTGTTTTGGCTACAAGGGTTGGTTCCAAGGCCTATGGTGAAGAAAAAGTGCTTATCAACTTTTTGGGGGACATTAGCTGGGAATTGTTGGGTGTTCAAGCTGCGGAGTTTGTTGGCGAATTTGGTTGCGAATGATGTGTCGTTTAGTGCGGGGAGGTTTGGTTTGAAGAGCGGATGTCTCTTCGTTGTTAGGGTTTTGGTTTTGGAGGGCGATTCGTACTCTAGAATGCCAGCAACTGTGGAGTTGTCAAATGTGCCTTGGCCAGTCACATATGGCCTAGCAGTCATGAAAAATGTGGCGTTTGGGAAGTTGGGTTTGGTCTTGAGAAGAACATTTGTGGTTTGGCCGGGGGCAATGAGAATTGTGCGAGTCTCGAAGGGTTTGACATAAACAGCGTCGGCTTCTACTACTTTGAGGGTGTGATTTGCAATACTGAAGAAAAGCTCGTCGTTGAGTGCTGCGTTGATTAGCCGGAGAAGGTAGGTCTTGCCAGGTCGAACCTTCAGCTTGAATGCATCTGCAGAAAAGAGCCACACGTACAAAACAATTGCGATGAAACTAACATAAATTTTCCGTGCATGACATGTTCTATAATGATATTGAATGGAAGCACCATGGATAGTTTTGATACTATATCGATAACATGTTGATACTTTTTGTTGGTTACAATGATATTGACACATTATCAACTACAATCAACAATTCATACGACTTCCGTTCCATATTTTGATACCTTTGGTAGAACAATTGTATAGCGGTCCTGGGAGTCCATTGATGGTATAAGCATCAGAGACATTTGGACCTCCACCTGTTTGCAAAGCCTGCCTAATTATGACTTCAGGGTCTGCATTCCACCACTCACCTGTATTTCAAGTATAAATTATATAGCTTTTCTTGGCAATTATATGCAACATTATAGGCAGAAAATATATTTGAAATTAGAATTACTACCAACTGGTGGACTTCTGTTAAATAAATATATATACATACATATATATAGTTAAATGTTAATTACCAAAAATAATTGGAACCTCCTTGTAGGGTTTAGTGAAAGGGTAAGGCACACCGCGCTTGGGAAGTATGATTAAGGGACCATAAATGGTTGATCTGAGCCATGAAATGTGAGCATGCCAGAAAAGAGTGCCTCTTTGCCCTGTAATGGTGAAGTTGTAGACATAACTGTTGCCTGTTTGTATGGGACATTGGGTCACATATGCAGGGCCATCGGCCCACCCCGATCGAAGTTGTCGAATACCATGCCTGGCCATTTAAAGAAATTAATTAACATTATTAATCAGTACTTAATTTAGATTAATTATGCATGGTGATGGTGTGTATACACTAAAGTTTAAACAAAAAACGATTAGTTTCTATATTGCTTATGAAGTTGTAGTTGATGATTACCAGTGGATAGAGATGTTGTTTTGGACGTGGTTAACCACTTTAATTAGGAGTTGATCACCCTCTCTAGCAATGATTCTGGGGCCAGGAAACTGCCCGTTCACTGTTATTATGCTCTTTGTGTGACACAATCTTGTCACGTTTTGCAGTTTGATCTGTAAAATCATTTAAAAGGATAAACATAAGAACAGAAAAGGAAAGAAAGAAATGGTTGCATGCATGCATGCAAGGACTCAAACTTCATGTATGTGACAATCTTAACATAATGTTTGACAAGAATATATTCCCTTGTGGGTGCGTGTGTTTACATATATATGTACAACTAGCTAGTATATATGTTGTGACATATATATGCATTTGCACATACTTCAAACTTGTAGTGTCTGGTTATGCCAGCAAGAGCATGTTGAGGAATAAGACACAACGTTATGAAGGAAAAGAGAAAGAGCCTAAGAAATGGTGGTGGTGAAAGAAGGTGAACACCCATTTTACACACACACTCTCTCTCTCTCTAGATCTCTCTCTCCTTTTTCTGCAAGAAAGTGAGAAGCTGCTACAATCGAGTGCGTGTTCAAGGAAAGATATTGGGTGTGTATATATAGAGGAGAGGGAAGAGTAGTGTTTGGTCGAGTAGGTGCAAGGTCATAGAAATTAGAAATATAGTCTATTACTTTTCTGGAGGATACAGGAGATTGTAGCAGAAGAGCTTGATGAATTAGCTATTATATTACAGGGATATGCATATACGGTTGTTAGAACAACTTTAGAGTGGTGTCAAAGACAATCAAATATTTCTGTTGACCTCTCTCCTTTCCTTTCAAGTCCAACCTTTCCTAAGTATTTCCACGTCCCTCTGCATATAAATGGACGTGATTTTGACCTACTTAATATTACTTTCCAGGCTTAGCAACAACTACGAGTCTGTCACGAAAGGGAACACTCATAAACAACTCTTCTTTGCATGCATGTATACACAAGTCGTAAGGGAACTAATGATGAATATATGTAATGTGAAATTTATTGGCACCTTGCATATCGCTTTAAGTATCGGCAATTTGTGTCGGGGCTTCTTAGTATAATAAGAAGGGTTTAGGGTTGATAAACAAAGTGATCGCGTGAATCATCCGGATAAGTAAGCGAAAACTAAAGACATTCTACTTAAAAGTAAAAGAAAAATATACGGTAAATTACATAAAATTACCTCAACTATTGGGTCAGTCATAATTTCATATCACATCTTTAAAAAATTTCAATGTCATACCTCATCTACAAATTTTTTACAATTTCATACTTCCGTCAGTTTAAAAAATAAAATCATTTTTAATTTTTTTTTGCATGGGGACCCACCCCGTACCCTTTCTTCCCCCTCCCTTTCCTCCCCCACTTCTCTCTCTCTCGTCATGCCAAGAACCCCCTAACCCACCTAGGTTTTTTCATTTGCCATCCCCTTTCCTCCTATATTCTTTCTCTTTTCTCCCTTTCACGCTGCTACAGTAGCCTCGTCGGCCCCGACCTTGACCTTGGATCCCTTCACCATCTCATCACCTTCACCCCCTAACCCGACCTCGTCGACCTCGTCTGCACCCTCCCTCACCAGATCCCACCCATCTCGTTTCCTCTGTGCCAATCACTACCTCCCTTCTTCCCCCTCGTGCCGATCACCCACCTCACCCGCGCCACGCCATCGCTTGACTCCCTTCCGCCTTCCCTCCTTCCATACCGCCATCGACCGACTCCCTCTTTGATTCCGACTCCGCCTTTACCAAATCGGGTCAACCGGCCCTCTCTCTGCTCTAGTACCATTTCTGCCTTCTTCCCCTGCCCTTCCAAACCCTCAAATCTCTCTGCTCTAGTACGACGCGAAGGACGCCATGATGGTGATTGCATAGGTGGCCGGGTACGAGGAAAGCAAGGAAGAGTTTCAGAGGGTTTTCGGGGTAAGGGTTTTGGCAGATTTGCTGGATGTGGTAGAGTGTGGCTGCAGAAGAGGGCGTTGAAGGAGGTGAGGGAGGAGTGGGTGCGCTGAGGGATGTGCCGGAGAATGGCAGCGGGAAGTGGGATCTGGGTTTAGGATGGTATCTGGTTGATTTTGGGTTTGGGGAAGAAGGGTGGGGAAGAAAGAGGGGGAAGAAAAAGGGTTTTGGGCACGATGAGAGAGAGAAGTGGGGGAGGAAGGGGAGGGGGAAGAAAGGGTATGGGGTGGGTCTCCGTGCATAAAAAAAATTAAAAATGAATTTTTTTTTTAGTTTTTTAATATTTAATTATTTTTTAATATTTTAATTATTTTTTAAGCCACGTCACTATTTTAACGGAAAATTGATAGAAAACTGACGGAAAGTATGAAATTGTAAAAAATTCGTAGATGAGGTATGACATTGAATTTTTTTAAAAATGAGGTATGAAATTGTGACTGACCCAATAATTGAAGTAGTTTTATGTAATTTACCA